GGAAATATAATTATTAAATAACACAATCATACTTTTAATAACTTTTTTTCGTAAATACTTACGTCTCAATCTTTCAACACCTAATTGTTGAAACTCTGTAAGTGGAACTTCCCCTGATGGAGAAAAATCATACATTTGCAAATCATGTTTATAAATATCGTGAAGATTAGTACTTTCAATATTAACTGTACACCGGCGTCTTTTAGTATATTCCATTTTCTAAAAGTAATATGACAAATTTGTTGTTTTCATATGCCAGACTTTTAAGATAATTTGTACCAAAAAAAATTTTATACGATAGTTGCTATTCGTAAAATATATTAAGAAATTAATACGTACTTATTAATATTTTATTCACAGTATGTAATAATTCTCTTTATTTCTTAAACCGACTTTTCTTAAGGCACTTATGCAGCCATTGCTACATGACTATGTTTCCCGCGGTTTTCTCCCGCTAATTTCTTAAAGGAATTATTTGATAGGATAGGAAATATTTATAACTGTACGGTTTGTATAATATATTATATTTACAAATATTTAGGGTTAAAAAATTATAAACAATCACATCAATATATGTTTATTAAAAATGTGTATATAATTGCCCTGGTATCTACTCGATTACACTTAGAATGTGAGACGTAAAATTACAAACAAGAAAGTATTATATATTGTTGAATAAATTGTTGAATTGTTGTTAAAGTTTGGAATGCTTATATATCGAAGCATTAAAAACATTTTTTAATTGCATGGGAGCTAAATGACCATCGGAACTATCGAAATTTTGAGCATAAAGTTCTTTCACTTGGAGGTTAGAAAATTCCATCCTATTTTTAACAGGAGATATATCCCGAAATTCTCGGATAGTAATATCAGTTCTGTCAATAATTTGTTCTTCAACTAAATCAACTTCTGTAGGGTACATGGAATCTCCTGGTAAAACATGTACCTTTCCATCTTGTAATTCTACCTTCACCTGGGAATATAAGTGTCGTTAAAATTGTTCTTTCAACAGAGAAAGCAATTTTGTAGTTTCTTTTACATACAGGTAAATTCAACAGCACTCCTATTTTGCTACGTTCGATCGCAAAATCTAGTAAATTGTCTATACTTTCAAACTTTGCTATTCTTGCTATTTCATATTGCTGTGGAGGTGGTAGTGCAATTTTTGAAGCCGAAAATAATAAATTCCCTGGCATATCCCACTAAATTGTTTGAAAAATATTATTGATAAATTTAATCGTGCTATTAATGTGTGAAATAATCTTACTTTTATATCTTCCATCTCTGTAACCTCACAGATGGTCTGAGGTACAACTGGTACACAAGCAAAATAGAAAACAGCGTTAAAACGTCTTCCAACAAAATAAGTTGGTGTTAACCAATTGCTCCACTCATAAAGAGACCATAAATCTGGATAACATTTAAAATTTTCACACAGTGTATAGAATTCTCTGGCATCATTGTGTACCCTCGTTTGCCAACTTTGTAATTCGTTTTCGGAGACTGCGTTAATAAAAAATTGTCATATTTTTACTTATTTCGAAGGAACAAACTTTATTTTTATTTGGAACAAAATGTAATATCAAGTTACTTTCTATGCGACCTGCCCAACCAAATTGCATAGAATCGTCCCTTGATTGTTTGCAAATTAGTATGCCACATTCTTCGAAGGTCTCACGAATTGCAGTAATACGCAATGAAATTTCTCTTGGTAATTCATTGGGCCCCGATTTGAAAATTTGAGGACGAACAGAAGTATTTGGACTTAAAGTTTTGAAACTATTAGCATCGAAACCAAAGGTGGAAAAAAGTTTGTCCCATTTCAAATCAGCATCAGATGGTTCTATTACTCCTCCGGGAAATACATACGTACTAGGCATGAATTTCGATTTTGCATGACGTTTCATGCATAACAGATTGTAGTTATACTGAAACTGATAATTATTTTCAAAACATCCCATTAGTATCTTCCTTAAATTTTCGCGCGTATTAGAGAGACAAATTGTCTATTCGATTATCGATGTTGCAACTATAGTACTAAATGCAGTTATATTCGTTTGATTACTTTTTTTTTGCTACAAATAGCAATAAATGAGCAACATACTTAGTTCTTAATACTTTACATTAATACTTAACAGAAATTTAAATCGAATTACTTACGTTTGTAGCAGATGGACGTATACATTTTTGACGAGCTGCTAATATTAAACTAGCAGATTCTTTCCAAGCTTTCATTTTTTATTAACAATAACGTACTTTTTACTTTGCACTAATAATTACAAACTTATACAATTTTCAAATAAAAGGATTGTTAACAGGGCTACAATTTAATAAAGTGTTTTTATAACCTAACTAAACGTAGGCGTACAATTTATATAATGTATTATACAATTTTCAATGACAAAATAAATGAACAATTATCGGTATCATTCTGTTTTTAAAATGTTGGTAATCGAATATTTTAAAACTTTTTTTCAATTTATGAAATCATTTACTTTATCACAATATCATTTCTTTTGCTTATCAGATTGTTTGCACCATTGGATTCTATAATTTACTGACGTAATTAATTATTTCATAATCTTAAATATTCTCTTTTTTTTAACCTAGAAACTTAATTTCTAACAGAGAAATTTGTAATTTATTTATAATGAAACTTTAGTTACAAGTTTATTAAGTACTACATATTAAGGATTAATATTACATTGTTTCCTATTATAATTTTTACAGTAATTGTCTAACTATCGCACAGAATATCATACATTTTGAGAACTATATAACACATAGTACTTTAAGGTTTTTGGAGGATTCAATTATGTATCTTTTCCATTCTTGTTATTTTTACTAGTTGCTGCAATCATTAACTCATACAACTGATACACTTGTTCATCTCTAAATTTATTAAAATCTTCTTCATTTAAATTTTCACCTAGTGGTTTGGCTGTATGCGGTCCTTTCAGTCCAAGTTGCTTAGTAAGCAATATAGCATATTCCTATAATTGTAACAACAAAATGAAACAAGTTTATTGCTCAATATAAAAACAGTACTATTGAATTATTAAAATTAGGATATTAGTTTATTTATTATTTCTTCATATTTATATTACTATAAAAGGTGGTGAAAGGTAACCTCATTTTGTTAAGAAAATATTAGACTGAAATATTTAATACCACTTACTGTCCATTCATTTAAAAATATAGTTGCTGCAACTTCATCACAGTTCTTGTGTCTTTTAAATTCATCTCGAACGTAACTTGTTCCTAAAACTTGAATTTCAGCTGGCAATCCACGATGTAACCTTAAAATTGTTTTGTACAGCATTCTAACATGCTGTACGTGAGATAAACTAGACATAATTTTATTTTATTTTAATGTCATGTATGCATATTAATTGATTATTTGTATGTAATATTTTGCCAATATTACAATTTGTTATTAAACGGATTGAAATAAATAGAGAATTAGTAAAATCTCGCGCCAAACATCGTGTACAATTTATATGCGCATGTGAGTGTACTAGATGTGTTTATAATTCTAATTGTAGATATTTATTTAACTGTTACATAACAAGGTAAACGATATTTATTACAGAATTAATAAAATTGCAATATTTATCCGTAAGACAAACATTATTTTACTATTTATTTTATTAAGTTATATACCAAAATATCAACCGTACTATTAGTTAATATACATTTGAATTTGAGTTTTTAATTCGAATTTTCCGCGGTTTTGTTTCGACCAATCACAACTAATACGTTGTTGCCGGTCACTTGCGTCTTGCCGGTCATTAGTCGTCCTACCCTCGTTTTGTTAACATGTTCGTGTGCTCGTAGTGGTTTGATTTATTAATTTCTCAATTTTGTGTTGTGTTGTGCGATTCAAGTAATTAACAGAAGGAGGGAAAGAACTAGCAGACATGTTAGGTAAGAAATTTTGCATAAATTCTCTCCTGAGAATGAATTTTTTTCAATTCAACGGCAGTACGGAATGTTTACAACGTGTCCTCTAGTAACCTTTGATAATTATATGCTTTATTAAACATAATATGTATTTCAACGAACATCGATTCATCTTTTCTTAATATAAGTGTCGTTTAGAAGTGTTTAAAAGATAAAATAAATACGAGAAATCGTGATTTCTTTAACCGAAGGGTACGGGGTCGACGATCCCGTTTGCACGGAATGTTATTTTCCTGCGCATCAGTCGTGCACATCCTCAACTGCGACATTAAACATTTGTGCCTTAACCTCCATGTTAAAAACACTTTTTTCTCAATGGTAAACACGAATATCCTTCTGTAGTATGTTCGAGTGTTATATATACGTCCTTCCAATAACACAAGTGCACGAACAACGTTCATATATATTTCTAAGAAAACTTTGCCTTAGAATTAAGAAAAAAGTGAATTCGAATTTCCCCCTCCCCTTTCCAGAAGAATATTACTCTGACGTCTGGTACCTGTTTCTTGCGTCTTAGATTTTAATTCGATCAACGTAGCAGAACAATCTTCTAATCGCAGAAATCGAGAAGAAATTAAAGCGTCGTATTTAACCTTATATACATTTAAGTACTTAACACTTTCTACAATATTACGTACTAATCATTCTAAATTCATATACTACCTCCATCCTTCCCCTTTAACATATTTTTTAAGAAAATCACCTCTTCCTTCAGTTTCATTTTCAAAAAATTAATTGTCCTCCGGAGATCTGGCATCTTGAATCTCCTATAAGTGTAAACAATCTCGTATAGACGGTGTATATGTATGTTTTTTTGTTTTCTTCATTTTTCAAGCGTCTGCGAAATGAAAGAAGAATGAAAATTCGTACCCGCTGTCTCCTGTCTCCGTATTTCGACCAGAACGTCACTTTACACGAGGTCTTCTGTCCAGTCTGCTTGTTGAAGACGGAACACGTGGAGAAGGGCGGCGTGTACAAGTGCAACGAAACAGCGGGATTCGTGTTGCTCGCATTCTCCACTCTATGGAGCCCCAAGGAATCTACAGAATTATCGATAAATAAATATACCAAGGAACCTATATAATTATTAATAAATAAAGTTCCAACGAAAACACAACGATATTTATGTATACAGAAACTATACCATTGATATAACATATTTCATTAAGACCAAGAGTAGTTTTTCCTAGTACTTCAAGTTCTCTTGTTTCTTTGTCTTCATTTTTCATCACAGGCCACGTATATCGTGTCTACAGAACAACGAGTATTAAAAAATAAATATATAGATAGAAAGAAATAATTTTTTTTTCTTTTTTTCTTAAGAAATAAACATTTTCTTTTTTTAGATACCTCACAAAGTTCACCTTGAAGAATTTTCATCACACAGTGTGAATTAGGATGATCATGTATGCCCGAGCCATGACCTTCTCCCCAGCATAGAACCATTAGATTGAACTTGTCGTTTCCTTCATCGACCAAATTCCTCGTATACCTGGACACAATGATTCACTTATTTTCCTCGTTAAGGATTTTTTTTTATTCTATTCAATTGTATAAGTCGCGCTGAATCACTACGAGCCGTATACTGTATCTATTGATCACTATCAATTACCTCGGTATCGATATGTACGATAGATTTTTTTTTTTTTTTTTTTTTTTTTTATAAGTCACTCGTTTTTCGATACAATAAGTGTCGCGTGTCAAAGAACCGATGTTCGGAATCAAGTGTAATGCAAGAGAAGGGGGGCATACGTGGAAAGTGTGTGTAAGTAACCGTTCACCGTACAAACACCACTGATTTACGTGCAATATACATAGGCGTTTAAGTGTTCCGCATACTTAGGTTTCGGTTGCAACCGTGTCGATCTTTTTCGATCTTATCTTTGTTCGAGAATTAAATTGTGAAGTAATAAGATGAGAAAGGATCTCTGTTCGAACGTACACAAGTAGATTGTATTTTATTCAACGTAGAATTGTATAGAGGAAAAGTTTGTAACATATCGACGAACGTTTTCTCGCGATCTTTACATATTTTATAATCGCATTTGTTCTGTTTGATACAGTACGTTCTACTTTGTGTATGTCGCATATCCATGTGCTGCAGTTTCCATACTTTCTCGTGTCATGTGGAAATCGGTCATGTTAGCAATTACCTACCGTAATTCCAACGGAGTCGTTATTATCTTTATAATTCGTAAAGCTATTTTCATAACGGATTGTCGTATTACGTTTTATACGAATAGAAGGGAACGTTAAAGAGTGGATGTTACGTCGTTTATAACACTAATTGATCGAAAATTCAATCACACTGGTGAACAAAGTGTGAAATTATGTTAATTGATCGACACATCAACATTTGCCTCGGTATCACGGTGCATTGTTCGTTATCTGTTCCTTTTTCAATTAGGTATATCAACGAAATATGTCACTCGAGTTATCATAAGAAGTCATTATTCGCGTCTTTGTAGAACAATTCTGAAACCCTCTCTCTTATCGCTCTGACAGTGCTTTCTAACGACGATATTACGCCATTTCTTGCATTAGTATAATAGCTCGAAACACGAGATTTCGCGGAATCTGAAGATGAAAGTCTCCTCCCGATAAGAGAGTATCGATGTCGTTAGCAAATTTTTAGTTTTCCTAATTTTTTTCACCGTTCTTTCTCGTCATTGGTGTATCTATTATTGACGACGTTTCCTTCCTATTTGCTTTAAGGTCGTTTACTTGGTAGTAGTCGCGTGTAGACATGCGCAGTGCGAGATTCGCGAGAGGTAGCAAGGCTGTTCGATCTATCGTCGCTTTAAACATTGATTATGTTTTGATTGAAACAGCAAATTGACGACGTCGATCAGGGTTGGAAAGAGCAGTAACGCGCGATAACCTATCGTGAACTTGGTCACGTTAACTTTATTTCACAATTCCGACGTAGCTGTACCGCGCGCGTTCTTGTTTGTACGCGGTCACCGATAAAACGTCTGTCGAGAAATTCGATTATTCGCAAAATGTAAACCTCGCGAATCGATTAGAAAGAATGAGAAAAAAGGAGGGAAGAAATATCGAGACGATTGTTCAAGTAATTCGATCGGTGCACCGATAGGCAACTATGTAAAGAATTCTCTCGCTTCTTCTATTTACCTGTATCGATCGAATTTCGCGTACTTCTTCCATTCCGCTGGGTTGCTCCTGTAGGAAGCCATCAGATTTTTAACGTCCTCGATTCTCGTGTCGTCCTTCGAGAATGCTTCGTGCAAAGCTTTTATAAGCTCGGAAAGACTCAACGGCACCTTCTCTTCACACGAGTTCTTCTCGTTCAACAGTTTCTCTCGAGAGACGCATAGTAATCCGCGATCTTCCTCGTAGACTTGCATTTTCCTTCCGGATGATCGATTCACTTATCCCTTCTTTCTCGTTCAATTAAGACACGTGTCCTTCTCGAGGTAATTCCGGTCCTGTGGTCACTCGAAAATTTGTTACGATTTCAAGGAGAGTACGAGAGAAAGGTGAATTAAACGACAGATGTTTAAATGTATCGAAATGAGTTGACGATGTAGGCGAAACAAGTGCGAATGGTATGAAAGCGAAAGCAAACGAAGAACACGTTGCCGGTCTACAGCTCGTACCGATCTAGTAAAACAGGGGAGACAGCGTCTCTTACCAAGCCTGAGATACCCCCTACTCCTCACGATTCTTAGCTGTTTCAAATATTTCATGCACGAGGTATCTCCTCCGACACTTGGATCACTTTTTACCCTTCGGTCAGGATAACGACTTGCTGCGACGAAGCAACCAATAGCAGCATCACAAAAATCGTTCTACTTCCACTTAGTATACAAGCTTAGAAACTTCGTTGTATTTTAGGATCCAGATTTTTTTAAAGGTTTCTTTTCTTCCTTTTTCCTAATGCATTTCGTCGTACTTGCATACCTTAACGAGATCTCGTTAATTTCAAAATAGACTAATTTCGAGTACTTCAATCGTTTGTTTTCCCAGGCTGCATCGCAAATGTTGCATGACGTAAAGAGAAACATTATCAGCAGCTATTAATAAGTTAAATATTTATTTGATTAATACATTAACAATTTACATAATTAGGAGTATTTTGCAACGACTTGCACGCGCCATTGCAATTAACTCAATAACAGCGCTTCCTCGTATTCTTATTATTGTACACACGCAAGTATTTACGTACGATCTAGCAACAGTTAATACGATCTAGCAACAGTTTACAAATAATGAAATCACGTTTGCTACGTAAAAGTGATACGTGACATTTCTGATATTTCTGAATATCTGAAAAACCGGCGTTGGAAGATTTCCATGAAATGTCACAGTTAGAAGCGTAGGGCGAGAGCGTAGCAAAAATCTCTGAAACTGTCGCAATGGCACAATTTGATTAAATTTAATAAACTACGTTCACGAACGTTCGTCGCCGAAAATTCAAAATCACAAGTATGTTTTCCATCGAAACGACAAATTCGCCGTTTCCTGTCGTTTGTTTGAAAATCTCGTGCAAGTATTTCGCGTTTATTCGCATAAGTGAAAACCACAGGTGTCGCATTATCGTATACAAATTGCCTTTTCGTCATTGTTCTTCGGTTTTGTCGATATTTTACCACACGGTGCTGCGCTTTCCTTCTCGATCGTGCGGCAAGGTGAATCAGCGCACCTGCACGGCCTCGGTTTGCCTCGTTCTCTGGCCGTAACGCAGCTGTAGCAAAGAATGTAATAAAAAATCAGCAACTGGAAGTACCAGATCTACGTTCGCGGGCCAATTAACGGAGGAAGTTGTTTTTCGTTGCGTTAACGCGAACCCCCCCTTGTTATTATCTTATCGCTGTTTTAATAACTCGTCTAATAGAGCCAACAACTCACAGACAGGGAGAGCTTTTGCAATAATAACACTTCGCCTTTGGCTTCTTCTGATTTGTTTTAGCCTTTTTACATCGACAGGGTGTCGCTTTGCAAGCACAACAAAGAGCTACTATTATCTTCTTCTGCTTCTCGTTTTTCCCTTGACCAGTGTCGCACTTGCAGTTGTTCGATAATTTACTCTTCGATTTCTCCATGCACACGGCTATGATTTTTCTACGAGTCTTCGGGCTGTTAATCGTATCAACGACAACAAAATGTACTCGTTGATACACGTATTACGTTTAATTGCAAAGAAATTTTACCTGATGCGATATTTGATCTTCCTCTCTTCTCTGACCTCGTCTCTATCAGCCTTGATATTGCAACAACAGGGGATCTTCCTGCATCGCGTGCAACACGTAGATTCGCTCATCTTCTGCTGTAACTCGTCCATAACGTCAGAGAAGATGCTCAAACGTTGATAAGGAAGGTCATCGGAGTTGTGCGGCTTGAGCTTTTCACAATAACAGTGCTCCTTGATAGAATCTACTCGTAGATCGGCCAAGTTTCTAGAAAAGTAACGTCGTACTTCTTCCCGTGGTTTCCACGCGGTAACGTACATGGTTCGATCGTTGTCTGGTTCGGCGAGGACCGGTCTTCCGTCGCGAATCGTCTTCTGATCCTTGCATGTGCACAGATCCGTGGATAATTCGCAGTAGGAACACTTTGCCAACGGTGCTCTGCATGTACATTTGTCGCGAGGATTGTCACAGTAGAGGCAAAACATCCATTTCATGCATTCGCAAGTGTTTTTCTTCGTATCGTAAACTACTTTGCAGTTGCACTTATTTTTTGGTTTGTAACAGTCTGTGCAACAGCTCGTTGCTAATCTGCAACTGTATTAACGGTAATCGAATTTTATTGTTTTTGAGAGACTGCGAAGAATGGTTTTTTATTACCTGGCATCGTTTCTTGGTCTGCAACAAACGTTGCAAGGGATTATTCTCCTGCAGCCACAGTCTTCCCAGCTCCTCTTGTCGCGATACGGAAGAGAAAAGTTACTTCTCTGAGAATCGACGTGCTGATAAAGTGTTCTGTCCTTCTTTAGACAGCTTTTCGGGTAATTTATGGGTTCGTTCGTGTATTCGGATATCGACGAACAGCAGCAGTTGCATATAGAAGTGAAAGATTCGTTCATCGTTGAGGATTTTGGGTACTTGGAGTTTGTGCAGATTGTACGGGGGTCTATTTTATGGTGTTGCGGGTGCTGTGATGGCGAAGACTCTTTCATTTCGTTAAATGACAATTTTCTAGTTGGTTTTCTTTCATCTTGAATTGTAGGTTCTTCAGGATCAGCTTTCTTTTCTTCTTGAATGTTCAGTTTCTTCTCAAACTGTGTCCTTTTTGCTGGTTCATCGACTTTGGGATTTTTTATAATTCTTTTAGGTTCAGATAGCTTCTGGGAATTTTCAGAGTTTCCTCGCTTCGTTAATTGAGTGTCATCTTGAGTTGGCAATGCAGGTGAATTTTCATTAGCAACGACAGGCGTTTGTTTAGATTTATTTTTCGTTTCCTTATCGATCTCAGAAGTTGTCTCTTGAGTATCTTCCTTTTTCACCGATGCGTCGATAACATTGTCACTTTTATCGCTATTCTTGTGTTCTTTAATTGTAGGCGAATTAGTAGTAGTATTTTGTTCAGGTTTGTCCTTTTTATTTTTCATGGTTCTGTACAGGTTCAGTTTGGAAAAATTAAATCTCTCCTTTTCCTTATGCCTACCTTTAATTTCATTATCTTTCACTGGTAACTGATCTCCGTCAACATTTGTCTTAGGATTCTCAACATTTTTCACGTCACCAACATTAGATGTGCTTTCGTTAATCTTATCTTTTCCTATCGATCCTTCGTCTCTCTTTTCTGGAAATTCGGTCTTGCCTAGAATTTTCTTCAACCTCTTGAAGGCGAACGTGTTCTTCAGCTTTCCTTGCAAATTTTTCGTATCTTTATCTTCTTTGTTTCCTTTAACTTCCACCTTCTTCTCTTCTACCTTTTCATTCTTTTCACCCGTTTGCTCCTCTTCAGCAGCTGGTTTCTTCAAAAATTTGTACTCTTCCGGTATATTGAACCTTTTCAGAATATCTTGCGTCGTTTTGCCCCCATTTTTCACCGGTTGTTCCAAACTGTCCGCCTTTTTCACAGGCGCGACACTTTTCTGATCGACAGTTTGCGCAGGTTGTTTCACTTCGTGCTTCAAAATATTTCTCAGCACCATCACTTCAGGTCTGATTAATTTTCGAGATGCAAAAGGCATCGATGTTCTACGGACACTCTTCGTTGATTTTTCTTCCGATTCCTCCACTTTCGCAGGAACTTCTTCAACTCCTCCTTCCTCTGTGTCTTTAACCTCCCTCTTCTCGTCCTTCTCTAAAGCCTCCTTCAATTTTTCCCTACTTTTCCTCGACTCTCCAGAATAGTCCGCGCAAGGTACAAGTTTAGGTTCTTCTAGATTTTCCAAAGCTCCTCGACAAACAGTCATTTCTTCCTTTTCTTCGGCGAACTTCTTCGAAGCTTTATCATCGACACAATCTTCCTCTTCCTCTTCCCTTATGCAATTACAAATCAGCCACGGCTGCATTAAATTCTCCTGTTCCACTGTTTTAGAGGATCTCTTCTTACAATTGCATCGCATAGAATATCTACCAGTTGACTCTCCACCTTTCTTCCCACACTTACAAACTCTCTCCAAATTTCTTCTAGCTGATGCTTCGCAACTGTCGTCTTCGCTGACAGGATAACTACCCTTTAAATTGTTTACGTAGCTGTTACTGTGCTCGGAATTAGGCTCCAAGGACCACTTGTCGATGCAATCTGCGTTCCTGCTGCTCGATTTCGTGGACCAATCTTCGCTGTCAGAGTTGGACAAACTTTTCATGGGATAAATCGTCGAGCAGGGTTCCTCCCTCTTGTCGCACACGACGAATTTCGGTTTGTCAAGTGCCAGCTGAACATTGTTGATATTCGTCTGCGTGCATTCGCAATCGGTCAAAGTGGATTCCGTGTTCTTTGCACAGACGTCCTTATCGAATGCACCGCAGACTTCGATAAAACGATTGCTCTCGCTAATCGAGTCTGTGTACTTGGAAACGCAAGTGCATATAGTACTATCGTCGCTGCTCTCCTCCTTCCCCGACAGAGAATCGATAGAATTCTGCTCCTTGGATTTTCTACGTTTGTTACGAATGCATGTGACCAATTTACTCGACGAAACTTTCGACTGTTCGGTCGTTGTCTCCGAGCTCGATTCCGTGCATGTTTCCGCTTTCTTTTGTTTTCTGGTTTGCTGCAAAGAAGGATTGGGAAGGAAAGGTATTTTACAGGGAGGGAAAATGGAATAGTTACTTGAGCATTTTCGTTAGCTTCCGAGCAGATGTAAATGTTCACGTTGCCGGTCATTCGACGATTGTCAGTTTTCACGTTGTTCGCTGATTTCGAGTGTCTTTTATTCCGTATCTCTTCCAGCACGTTCCCTTTCTTGTCGTGCAATTTTTGCGGAGACGAACGAACGTTCTTATATCTTTCCCGAAGTCGACTAGCTTTCGAGACCCTCGAACGATCGTTCAATTGATCCTGAGTGGTGCGTGGTCGATTCTCGTGCCTGATTTTCACCGGAATTCCTTCATTTTTCGCATCGCACACCGATTTATCGACCCCTTCTTTTGCCTTTTTCTCGGTAGTCTGTTCTTCGTTCTGGGTTTTTAAGTGGAAAATAAATAACTCGTATGTTAATCTAGTCCTTTTTCTTTTTTACGCGTGTTATTCAGAGGAAACGGAGGATTCTGTAAGAAATTTAAGTATCTTGGATACTTGCATCTTAAATACCATTCTACATTGCTTCACGATCGTCTGCATCGCTTCCTGGATCGAGCTATTGATCAATTCTGTTAATTTCATGTGGATAATTTTATCTTCCGATTGTTGAGAGGATTTCTGCACAGGTTTCTCACAGGAATCGGGGCTGCAGTTCTCTTTGGCGCAACTTTTCTCGTCGCAAACTTCCTTTACGACCAAAGGACGAATTTTTTCGTCACTTTTATCTTCATCCTTGATTTCATCCTCGACCTCGTCTTTTTTCTCTTTTTCCTCGGCCTCTGGTACTTGCTTTCCATTTCTTTCGGCACTGGCCACTTGTTCCTTCGGATCGGAGTGTGCTGCAGCATCAGGCGGAAGAGGAGGAGGGAAACTGGCTGGTTTTGCATCGTGAAATGGATAAACCACGTTTGCATCGACGTGTTTCGGAGGTTCTTCCGTTGTTTCTGCGGGAGATGACGGTTCGTCGTCTTTCTTCTCAGTTTCTTCCTCTTTCGGTTTCGTTTTTTTCCGGTGCAAAAATTTTTTCAGCATTTTAATCACACAGATATTCAACTGCACTCTCTTTCTGCTTTTTCCTCTTACGCCTGTCGTTGTCGAATTTTATGTCGTCCGTCGAATTCTCAAGATACTTCCGTGTTTTCCTAGACATCGCCGAAATTCCCTTTTGCGTAACGAAACGGTAAATTTATCTCATCTCAAAGGGATAGCTGTTAAGTATTTAATTTACAGGTTAAACATTTTACTGGAACGACAAATTTGAAACAATCGAAAATCTGCGTCGATTGGAAAGCACGAAGTATGCTGCGTGTTTATTTTTTTACAAGTTCACTCGTTGTTGTCTGTCGTTTCATCGCCGGACGTTGAAACGTTCGATTTTCTAGTCTTTTTAACGCAATGACAAGTGGAAGATGTCTCGCTGAAAAATTCGGGATCGCAGGAATAATCGTAGCTTGTTCCCATTTCTTCTTCTGCGTGCATTTTGCATTTGCACTTTTTGCAAGTGGGCTGAAAAAGGAAATAATCATTTTAAAAAATACATCAAATTGTCACAATAACTTGTATTCGAATTTCAAAGTACCCTAAATGGCGCCATTATTCTGCGAGCGAATTTTCTCACAACATCCGACCTTCTTCGATTTTCAGGCGGATACAATTGCTCCACAGTTTTACTTTTGTCCGCTTTCTGCGACAAGCGTATCAACGGAACACTATCCTCAGATTTCCTACGATCTTCTCGATAACCAGTCCTCTTCTCAAACTCACACAACACATTTTTGTAAGCCTGCGTTCTTTGGTAAGGAAGTTCCTCATCTTGCTCGGTTAAACTGACCTTAAAATGATTTCTTAATCGTAACTCAAAGGATACACGATCGTTTCTAACTTTAATACTCACTGGAGAATTGCGTGCAACGGAGCAACGAGTTCTTGGATCGTTTATTTTCGAACGAATCAAGGTAGAATGGGAAAGTCGAGAAGGTCTTTCAATTCTGTGCCTTCTAGCTTCTCTTTCTCGAATTAATCTCATTCTATCGTGTCGTTTTAGTTCTTCGATCAATTCTGGACTCTGATACATAGGCAAATATTTCTTTAACACAGGCACCTCGAATCTTTGATCCATTCTACGATGTTCTAGAGGAGTTTCGAGAGCAGAGCTTCGATAATCATCTGTTCGATAATCTCTTGGTCGTTCACTGAATATTTCACTCGTGTCTTGAGGAGGATCTGTCGATTTAAATTCTGATCTTTCGGATGTAGCGCAAGGATAAAATTCCTCGACATCGGTTATCGTTGATTTATCGGAGCAACTGCACTTTCTTCTCTTCGAGGAGGCACGTTTAATACGATCAGCTTTGCATCTGACGAATATTAAATAGAAACTCTCTAAATCGCTGTTAAAGAAGTCATAATAGTCATCTCTGTACTTACCTTCGTCGGTACCTTTTCCCCTCCCGTTTATCTTCTTTGTTCAATTCTCTAGAAAGTTTCTTAGGCCTGGATGCTTCTGAAATTCCAATATTTTCCTCGAAACGTTTGTCTTTGCTATCACGTTTGTGGAACTTTGTCTGAGTGGATCTGCTTCTGTCAGGTAAATCCGTGGCTTTATCGACTCTTCTTTCTACAATACGAGAATCAATAACTGTTTTTTCCTTCGTATTATCACCGTGCTCTGATATCTTCTTAAATAATCCAGAAAATCCTCCTGAGAGTCTAGATTTTTCTTCTGTTCTCTCTACTTCAGCTTGGGAAGTTTCCTTTTTCACAGCTCGTTTCTTGCGTGATTTCTTCGATTTATGACCGACACCGTATAACTCTAATCCTGCTAATGGATCATACAACGAAGGGCTCTCTGCTCTTGTGTAAATCGTTCTTACAGTTTCCTCTTCAGATTTTGGTTCTACTTCCTCCGCCTTTTCAGTTGCTTCTCGAACGCTTAATGTTTTCACATCTTTCGTAGGTATTTTTCTAGCTTTAATTTTGTCCAGTACCTTTTCCTCTAAGCCAGACTTTTCTTCGTCGGTTTCATCCAAATCTTTCGACTCTCCCAACTCAGAAGAAGTAAACTCTGTTTCTTCCGAATAATCCGTGTCACTTTTCGACACACTTTCAGTCTCCGTTTTAGTTACAGCCTTCGACGTACCATCATCGGTGTCTTTAGTTATTGTCTTCGACGTGCTATCAGTGTGTTCTGATACGGTGGTCATACCTAACGAATAAACACCTTTATCTTCGCTCGTCTCGAATGTGATCTCTGAAGTGCAAGTACAGGGACCCTGAAAAAGCGAATATTTCCTTGCTATCTTGCAATAACATCGTTTATTTAAAATACAAATATAACTACCAATTCGTCGTCCTCTGTTACGTTCCACGCATCCTTTTTCCTAACACCTAACGATGCCCTCGTGTCCGACAATTCGTTGGTATCTTCTACTTGTCGAACACATTTTCGTGGCCGCGAATCTTCCCTCTCGTCTACTTCGAAATAACACGTACCTCTCGCAGCAGATTCCAAGTATCTATTCAACCAAATATCCGTTAAAAAATTGATCATCGTTGCCTACGATTGTTTACTCCAAAAATTACCGTGGTAGTTCTTTCGTGGTAAATTTTTGGCGACACGAAATCCCCCTATTGAAATTTTCCATTTCACAGCTTGCTCTACTTTTCCTCTTAGTCAAGTATCTTCCATCGCTTTCTCTATCTTGGACATTTAACAAGACTTCCTTCTCATCGTCGCAAGAGCACGAAGTAGACGAAGAAGAGTCCTTCGTCTTCCTAATTCTTCTGTACGATTGCACAGGCATCGATCTCTTCCTTCGAAGCATATCGACGATTTTCTTCATCAGAGACGGTCTCCTCCTCTGCAATCCTTCGCACGGTTTTTCCTTATCCTGCTTAAAATCAACGAGTGCTCGTTTTTGTTCCAGAAACACGGCTTGCCTGAGATATCGATGGACAAATATTTCCAAGATTTGGGCTGCTTTCATACTTCCGCTTTACCGAGCCAAGGAATTCTCGCTACCGCACCGACGATTCTATTTATACGACCCAGTTTCCTCTTATCCTCTCGATCCCTCGGAAGTAATTCTTCCGAGTCGTCGTCCACTTCTATGTGTATTACTTCTTCCTCGGAGATCTCCTCGCTCGACCAGTCACCGATCGACATTGACGAATCGGAATCTTTCACTTTGGCACGAACCTTTCTGTGTGCTCTGACCACGAAACCGGAAGTCGGTGATCCACAGCTCGACGACGATTCTCTCACGAACGGCTCGTTAAATATCTAAATGAAAGAGAGAATGTAAACATCGATGAAATTTCTAGGGAATGAGGAAAAAGAATGTTTAAATTCACTTGAATAGTCACGTCGTCCCTAATTCTCTGTGCTTCCACGTCTCTGAACGGTTCCCTCCGTTTCTCAATCTCCAATTCCTCCGGGGACTCGTCCTGGTACGCTGGGATAATTAAACTTACTGAAACTTGTAATACTGTTGATTTAACTTGTACCTGGACTTCTTACTGTAACTGTAAGTGGACTCGGAGCTTCGATCCAAATCTTCCGCGTATTTATCGTCTGTTTGCTCAGCCACGTCCTTTTCCGCTTTCATTTCTTCTTCTTCTTCTTCTTCGATTGGTGCCTTGACTTCTTCTTCTTCTATTGCTACTTCTTCTTCTTCTTCCATTGGTATTTCTTCATCTTCTTCTTCTTCTTCTTCTTCTTCAGCTTTCACTGTCGCAATTTCGAATTGATCCTCCGAGGAGTCTCTAGTGTAACAAAGTTTCTTTCAATCACTCGTGCAAATGGAATTTTTAATTACCCTTCTAATTATCTACTTCTCCTCGCTCATGTCGGACAAGTCGCCGTACTCCAACGGTGACCGACAAATGGTACACATATTCTGCAGATCCGCGAAACACTGCGTACAGAAGAGACCGACGCAGCCTGGAGTTGGACATTTCACATGCGGATTATCATCGGAACGCTCGACAGCGGCGCATAGAAGACACATGTCTTGCTTCACCGGGAAACACATATTCAAAAATGGACAGGAAGCCCACAATCTCTCCTTAAAAGTCACTCTCTCAGTCTTCTCTTTGCCACCGTAGCCAAATTTCCTGCGCAACTGACGTCTGGCGAACTTCAGGAAACTCCCTCTCGATCTAATTTCAGGTAAAAATTGACGGAATTTTCTTATCTCGAGGGAAACGTCCAATTCTAAATACCTGATTATGTGATTGTACAACCAAGTCGCTCTCTGCTTAGCTCTCTCAGGATAATACTGACAAAGGACCACGTGCCTCAGCCTCAAACCATAAGGTTCGAAGAATGCGATCAGCCAGCAGAAAATAACGAGAACGACGATCTGAGTGTATTTATCGAGATTAGGAGGTATTGGATCGGGAAGACAGAGCATCGTATCGATTTCTGCGTCTTTTCCATGCGGCGTGAAGGCATTCACTATGCTTCTGTACAGGTCTGATAAGTATCCTTCTCCCGACACGTGTATGGTTACCATGCTAGGTCTTCCAACCTGTGTTTCGAATAAACAATTCACGTTTTAAGTGAAACTGTGATCGATTTGGAATTTACCTTACTTTCGAATCGTCCATAGACTTGAATAGTGTGCAACACCCAATAGAGACTGTAATCTATCGCCATGTAAGCTGCAAGTTTGATCGTAGCCAGGCCTAAAAACACCACAGACCTTGCTAGTTTAGTCTTCTCCGATTTGATTAGAAACACAGAGGACAACGGAGCGTATTTGTTCTTCTCGCGAGGATTCAACGGCAGCACAGTCTCCTTCTCTTGTCGAGCTCGAATTAGATCAATGGTGCGTAGGTCGTCGGTGATGTATCGATTGTCGAAACGTTCGCTTGTTAGCCATTTGAAACGATAACGCATCACTCTGAAAGATATTGCTTACATTGTTGGATGAATTACGTGTGATTCCGCTGATCGTTTCACCTGAGCAGAATGAAGAAGACGAAGAAAGACGTGAGAAAGTTGATCCAATCGAAGAAACCGAACAGCGTGTCGGTCCTCGAACGGATTTCCGTGGCTATGCTCGTAGACACGTCTCTTACGGTACTACTTTGGTTCGTCTCGAAGTGAAACGAATGGGAGAATTTCACTTTTACGTAGAACATCGCCTTCATGTGCATCGTGAACTTTTTTATCTCTGTCGTAACGTTCAATTATTTCCTCTCTTTCGAAAGAATTCGTATTTATCGGAAGGCACTTACTGCTTCGCACAGTTTCGACTATAGTATCAGCCACGTAAGAGACCAGCATGCAAATGAAATCCAGTGGTTTCACCACGTAACAGAGAGTGCTAACTACGTAAGTTACGTTGCAGACAATTCCAAGAATTGGTCCTAATTTCGCCTTGCAATCTGCCACTGCTCCTTCGAAGACGCTTTGACACCTGTCGAACGGTGTGCCTAATTTCTTGTTGCACATGTTTATGACGCTTCCGAGCCATTGGAACACAGCGGTGATTACTTTGACTGGAGAAAAGTGGAAGGTTCATTTAGACAGCCTGTGGAAGCATTTAGAATGCGTTTAGTCCAATTTACGCTCACGTATACTAAGAACGAGCCTCTTAATCGCGATCAGAGTCTGTTTAATTTTCTTCACCACCTGCTTCACCGATTTCACCACTTTCGATATCGCGTCACGTAGAGCGTAGAACGGCTGCTTCGCTAAATCTATCACGCTCTTCACAGCTTCTTTCAATTGTTCCTGAGGCGAGAGTGAGTCAGTCGAGTGAATTTAACCCTTTCGCTAGATTTTAACGCGTAACGCGGCTGACTGAGGGTAAATTTTTAACCACGGCTGAGAAATTTCTTATTTTCAAATTCGGTTTAATCGATCAGGGTGGAAGTGCGCCAAAAAGGCTTGAAACGTAACGAAAGGGTTAACGGTGGTGAATTAAGGTGGTTTGATGGGTACTTGTGCGCAGGTCAGCGACTCTGAGAGCACGGCAGTGTTGTGCAGAGTGTTCTTCACCGGTCCTGTTATCGCTAAAATGAAGGCGTACGCCATCAACGCCTGCCTTCCGCGTTTAGAGAAGAATTGCGGCAACAGTAGAAACACGACACACCTAAAGAAAGAAATATATAGAAACGAAGCTTTCGAGAGGGAAAGAATACTCTTGGTGTACCTAACGCGTAAAGAAAAAGCTAGACCAAGGGTGAGAATTGTTCCAAGTATTGTGCAGAGGAACGTGGCGGAGGAGAGCTTGAAATGCAGTTGGAAAACGAAGAATATGAAAAAGATGTAGGTCAGAAATATTCCACCGACGAATCCTAAAAGGCTCTTCGCCACGTAATTTTCCAAAGTACCGTCCGTACGAATTGCGACAATTTTTCGATACGTCCAAGTGCCCTTCGGTACAGCTAGGATTTTATCGCACAAGTTTCGTACCTTCTTCTTCAACCTGTTTCAATTTAATTTTTTTATTACAATTTCTTCTATCTCGTGGAATTTGTCGGTTGCTCGAAAGCTTTTCGATCTAACCGTAGCTTTCTCCGACGAAATCTCTGCTTGAGAGTGTATCGAGGCCTGTCACCTTTTGAGATCTCGATCGACGTCAGCTTCTCGTCCTCGTATCTCTGTCTGGTTTTTTCCAACTTTCTGGCTTGCAGAAGCAACTGGAAGAACGCCATATCTGTCGCTAATTTATCATACCTCTAGCTACAACTGAAATTAGTTTCTCCCGCTCGTGTCAGTTTGGTAATTGATCGCTAACTTAAATCTACGGTTAAATTACACTGCAAGTGGTTATGTATAAACGTGACATTTCTCAAATTCGATTTCACTTTTTCTCTCTCTTCCTATCTAAACGAATAAAATACACACACACACACACACATGTTATCTTAACTATTTCTATGTTTATTTCGTCTGGCGTTTTTTTTTTTGTTCTGTTACTGACACAAAGTTACTCGTGTCCGCGTTATCTGCCGCGCCGATAACGTATCGTAGGAGCAAACGACTGATAATTAGCTCGCGGAACCGCGCAAAATTTGAACGAACGAGTCGTCTACGAAAACTTCCTATCGTCGATAAAATACGAATTTTCAAATTCGAAATTTTCCCAGATATGACACTCGAGCGATCCTAATTTTCGAATTTTGCATAAAACAGGAATTTTTCTCAACGTTGCTAAGTAGCTCGTAAACAAGATTTCCAATTAAAATCGCGACAGTCGTAAAGGGGACGTAAAATGGTCGAAAAAAAAAGAAAATGGCACTTTATTTGGGAAAAAGGACACCTGTCCGGTGGAAAAATGACAGAAGCCCCCGTTGTTGAGCTCGGCGGTGAGATGGCGTGGAACTCGCTGTTCGATCGTCGAACAGAGACGGCAAGAGCTACCTTGAATGGAAAGAACGAGGAGAGGGAAGGTCTGTTCAGCTCGCGAGCTGTGTAGAGTGGTCGAGCAAGAAGACGAAGAGGGGCGCCGAATCTAAACCCGATAACGAACCAGCTGGTGGCAGTGCCGTCGTACGACGTTTACGTGGAAGTACGACCTTCGTGTGAAAATCCATTTTCCATTCGTTCTCTCGCCCGCCTGGATTTTTAACGCGAAAACGTGACAAAGAAAGGGAAAAGGAGGAAAACCGTAGAGGCAGAGAGAGAGAGAGAGAGCGTGCCTGCAAATGAAGGAGAATTCAATCTAATCTGCAGTGCGATTTCTTGTCAGTTTCTATCTGTGTTCGATCCTCGTTAGAATTTCTACAGCATCGAGGAACGAGTCGAACTCATATACTTGCCGCATTATCCAACGAGAAACGTAATCTCGGAGAAAGTAAACAAGTATCGCTGTTGGATGATCGGGCAAACTGGATGTACAGTAGCGGTGTAAAACTGTCGTATTTGTTTGAAACGGTTAAAGGATAAGATTGTTGCCGTGTGTGTGTTTCCAGAGAGTTTCAATTATATCGTCGATAATAACGGTATCTTGTTTTAGGACGTTGTGCAAAGTTCATTTGTACAGAGAGAGATACTCGCGTATTCTCTTTTCGACAGCGAAGGTAAGAGTTTGCTCTGTTGTCGAGAATGCCTTCCGGCTGATGTGCGTTTGAATAGAGTTGCTGCAAGCATATGTGCAATTTTGTCTTTTTCGTGAATTTTCCAACATTTTTCTTTCAACGTTTCGAATAAAATTGCACGATGTACGTTGGTCGTTTCGGGGTAAATACATGTGGTGTAACTAGATTGACCGAGATTCTATCGATTTTCACTTTGTTCGCGATATCATGCTCCTGTTTCAATTTTGCCTCATGGGCTTTCTGGAGTTTGTGCGCGAGGGAACGCGATATTGATTATATCTCTCAAGTTCGACAAATGCCACGAGACGTATAACAGTGGTTAAAAACTGAAACGGAGCGAGGATGCGCGTTTGTTGTAAAAACGAAGAAGAAACTTTCTTCTTTTCTTCCCGTCGCTGGTGCGTAACAAGTACGGTTAATTGTTTGAGAAAATGATGGGACAGTTAATATATTGCTTCAATTACTCCTCGAGTATTATATATTATCGCTTCTCGAGCGAAGGTGTATTTCTCAGGCAACGCTTAGAAACGACTTTCACGAGAGGTGTCTGTTTCTTTGAACTTTTACACAAGTAATTTACAATGTTTTTAGGTACGTAATTCTCGGCTCTCTGTATTCTACACTTGACGACGATCGTTCGTTAGATTTCCCTTTCACAATTGTGAATATGCGGTATGATACCCTTGCAATTGTATGCTGTTCGGTTGAGGAGAGGAACGGGGCTGGAGTAGAGTCGAAATCCGGAAGAGCTTCTTTTCAAAAGAACAAATCAATAATTGTCCTAAATTCCACTTTTAAAAGCGGCCACTGCTACGCGATCGCGGCTAGGTTGAAGAACGCGATAATATTTGTCGTGTGCGGGCTCTCGACAAGTGGATTGTCACGTCGAAACGTTCTGTTCGGTGTCCCTGAACATGAAATACCGATCGTGCCGTCTCCAACTGACAATTCAACCAACGCATCGTCGATTTTTAATTGCCTACTTAAACGCGTTTCAATTAATCTTTTACCAGCGTGTACGTCGTAGAACCAGACAACTAGTTGAATTCGCGAGAAAAATATTACCGTGAAAAAAAAAAGAAGAAGAAGAAGCGTGACGTTGTTTTTTCTTTTTCTTCGAATCAGCTGATAATTACTCGGGTAACATTATTAACCGTGAGAACGTTGCGTAGGAAACAGCATGACGAACGTAGAAAAACGACACTGTGAGAATAGCTAGTCGACGGGAACGGAGTTTAATCCAGCCTGAACCTGCCCCTTTAAAGTCGCACCGTGGCTCTCCATCTTGCCTGATTTATCGCCTTGGTCAGGTGAAGTTGCGAGGGTTGTCCGAGGTCGCTCGGTAATTTTTCCCGTTTCCCTCCACGTTACTCATCTTATCGGCCATCTCTTCGAGAAAAAGTATCGAGAAACGTTCTACAAGAAAGCATACTCTTTAAAACTACCCTGTATACACATCTATACTCGTTGTTCAAGTCACGGACAGAGAACTATTTCTCGTACAGAGAGGTTGTATTGATTTAGTCACCTTACGGATGGACTTTCGTTTCACGGTTCGATCGAAATTTTCTCATGCCGGTACAATTACGCAACACCTGGTGATCGAGGATTTTTACGAACCAGTTTCGACACACTTAGGCAAACACAGACGCACACGGGATTCGTAATAAAATAGAACGTCGTTCAGGTATAGTCCGGTTTGTGACACGAGGAAATAACGAAATTGCATTATGCAATACGAAATTGAAACACGAGACGTATAGTCTCGATCGCACCTTTACATTTAAAGGTAAGCTAACCCCATTGGAAACTGTTGCTCGCACGATCAGTTCGAGGAACGTGATCAGTTAGACTTCTCTTCGACGAGCAGCCACAGTTCCCTTTCTCTCGGAACGGAGTAGCAAAACGTCTTGGAACAGGTCGTTCTCCTTGCTTCTTCGTGTTCCTCCCCTCTGACAGAGTGGCAAAGTTACTCTCGCTACGATCCCGCTCTTCTGTTCCGCGTGATTTTCACCCGAAAGGTCAGGCGAGAAGATTTCTACCAGAAGAAGGAAAGAAAATTCGTCACTCGCGATGACTAACGCGAGAACGACGATCGTGTTCGTAGAATTAAGCGTATCCTTCTTCACTTTCACGAGCTGTGTCTCCTTGGACGGTTCGTCGAAATATTTCTACACCGTAGAATGTGAACTTTCGTGAACTTTAAATCGACTCGTGACGATGACAAGGTGATACAGCAATTTCAACAACCGAGCTCTCCCCTCGTTCGCTATAAACACAGCCTTACGATCGCCCTTTTGTGCAGCCTCCGTGAAAAACGAGGATTCCTCGCGGCGAAATCTCCCACGAATGGCGATCTTTCTCAACGGAGACATTGCTGAAAGTACAAACTGGCGTTTCTCACGCTCGTGAAAACTCCTGTTTGTACGTAGTATGCCATAATTCCAACTCGATAGCGGATGTTCGATTAGAGAGGAAGAAGTTCGGTGGAGGAATTGTTTTCAGGCGTTCGTGAAAGGTGGCCTGGTTGCACGGGGCACGTTCATTGTCGGTTCATCGAAAGGGAAACTGTTGGGTGCGCCAGGGTGCAAGGCGGCAAATAGTGGCCGTGCAGTGTCAACGATGCCAATTTCCACGCACGTGGCGGAGGGGAAAAAAAATATAGCCTGTACGTGGGCGGGAAACTTGACCCGGTTATTCTCAATAACGAAGAGGACCTCGGCACCTTTTCTCGGCAACCAGCCGACGATCGATCTGACGACCGCGGAATACGCGAGCGTGTCGTTTAGATGCGGTTTTCTCTGAATGCACTTTTCAATTCGCCTGCTCGACGCGTAACAGCGTAAATGCTCGGCAACGCACAATCGTCGAGGTTTCTGCTTGTGGCTGTATGTACACTGTTCGCTTTGACAGATATCGATAAATGTCACAAGTTTCTCGAGATAACGTTCGGTAAACATTCCGAGTATGTAATTTACTGAACAAGTGCAACCGCCTTGTAGATATCGTGTTCTTTTTTTTTTTTTTTAAAGAAAGAAGAAGGAGAACGATACAATTTACCTTACGTCAGTTGTGTTACCTTTATTACGTTAGGGTCTTAATTTTGAAGAGAAAGGTTTCCAGACCGTCCTTAGCCTTCATCTTGATCAATAAAGAAGTGGAACGATCGGGGTTTTCCAAGTTTCCGTGCTGTAATCATCCGGTCGCCGTGAACATTGTATCTGTTTGTACTTTGTGGGAGGAATCGGTGGCGAAATGATTCATTGTCGTGCGGTTTCGCTGCTAAGCGATAAGATTATAGCTTCTATCTTCCTCTTCCTAGTTAGACGCGAACGTTACAAACAATTCGAGGTTGGTGCAGTTGAATCGCACTGAATGAAATTCAATTTTAAAAAGCATTTTAACCGTCTAGATCAATTTTTTCATTCTTCTCAAAAATACCAAGATAGATCTTTCGGAAAAAAAAAGATGGATAAATCTGTCGCTTTGCGTTACGAACTAGAACCGCGATACTTCATTGAATTTACCATCGTGACAATTGATAATGTTAAAGTTTTAACGGCGAAGTAGCACAGTGGAAAAAAGTTGCGTAGTTTGAAAGATTGAAACGAGCCGTGGGTGGAACGCGACAGAAGCCGTAGATCGGTGGTCGGTTGGCAAAGCTCAGACACAACACGAGAGTGGGCTGCATTTACACAGGCGCCGAAGCTTCCCTTGTATTTGCCCGATGCATACGTGGAAGCGCGTCGAAAGTACCCTGGAATTTTCGTCTGTCGGTAGCAGAGGCGTGAAACATACGTGAATGGGTGGAAAGGGGAGATTTGCGTATCTAATTAGACGTTATGCAATTGAACGAGAGTCGTGAGAGAGAAGCCGAGGTTGAGGGAACGGTAATTAATTGGGCGACGAAGAAAAAATGGGGGGAAAGTTAGAGAGGAGAGGGTTGTAATTCTCATCTACGAACTTAGCAATTGTCGCGTGCAGGTTCACTCTCATTCTGACCAGCTTTTCAATTAGCAAGCCGCGTGGGAACACGGTAGGATTCTGCTTTTTCTATTCCCATTCCGCGAGAGGTATACGAGTAATCGTTATTTGGTACGTAACGTAGAAAGCATGGGAACTATTTTATTCGGTACACTTGGAACGTACGAAGTCGACCGTCAAATTGTTCCGTTCGTAAAGTAGAAACGTGGCGGGAAATGAGTGGTATTAAAGTGATAGGGGAGACCTGGTTGGTATTATTCATCGATCGTTTCCTTCTCTCAAATTCAATTAAAAACTATTTCCAAGAACTTTGGAGTCTCGAGTGCGAGATTATCCGGTGTATCGTCGTTCGAATTCTTTGCGTAACTTTGTTTCTCTCCTTTTTTCTCATTTCTTCTTACTTTCCTATCAATTTTCGCGAGCGTCGCGGATTACGCCTGAGCGAAAGTAGCACGTTACGAAATTCCACAATTCGCCGAGATGAATTCGTAATTGTGCAACCTGAGATTGCCAAGTCAGCAATCAGCTAACCTCGAAACGCGAAAATTGAAATAACCACGGAGTGTACGCAACCTCGTAATCATTGTTGAATTATAGTGCACATTTTCTACGTCCAAGCAGGATCATGTTCAATTCTCGACGATACTCTTCCGCTTCAAGTTCCCTGGAAAAGAAGTATCTCGGAATATTATTCAGAAAATTTGTAATGTCGCGAGGTTCATTTACATACCGGCCGGCACTTTCGGTTTTTCTCCATTGTTTCTTTTCTCATACTTTTTTCTGTGTCCTTCAAATGACGCGTTGCGCAATAGTTGACATACAAGATCGGATCGTGAGAGTTCACGGTTACTTTTCACCTCTTTCTACACCGAGTCGAGTCGCTTTCCCCGACAATACATCAAACGTTTCGCTGTTTTTTTTTTTTCAATCGTATCTCTAACCAGCCTTCTGACGCAACTGTGACACGGTGAACACACGAGGGGGAGAGAATGAAAAAGATAAAGTTCAAAGAGACGGTGAACTTTACCGTTGCTCGATATTTCTTCAGATCACGTAATCGTGCCTTTTGTTTGGACACCGTCGTCTGTGCTGCTCGATAACAGTACATTTTGGTGTTTCGTGTCTCATTTGTATGATACCGTTACGAATTCTTTTCTTTTTCACCGTCATTCCGAACAGAGAATGAAATTCAAATCTCGTTTGACAAATCACCTCGTGTGTACACAAGTACTTATGAAAGAAGAACGTCCCCCAGTTTGCGGTTAAAAAGTAATAACAGCACTAACGCGATAACCAATCCTGATTTGGCGCACTCGGCGTCGGAATCGATATGCTGTATTGCCGACCTCATTTTCATACGTACCGCTCGCAAAAAGGAAAAGCAGGTCATCTTTTCAGGAGAAGGAAAATTAGACGGTAAGTAATTAACTCGTACGTGCTCGTTCGTTCTTCTTGAAAAAAAGAGAGAGAAAATGTACTTCCTTCGCGTGCAACCACGTAATCTACGGATGATTCCTCCGCTAGTATTATCCTGATAATTATTCGCAGAGAGTGTTACGAACTGAACGGTAATACCAAGTGTTATAGGAAATAAAATAGAAAAAGAATATAATTATTTAAGGAGAATGTTACACCGAAACTTTGCCATCGTAAGAAACTGACCAGAGTACCAAGGCGTCGAGAAAAATTGGTAAAATAAAGGAAAAAGCACACTTTGTGAAGAAGGAATCTGTATGTTGTTTAGGGTGGTAGGGTATGGGTGCCGCATCCGGTGAAGATCTGGGAAGGCGCGGTGATCCTGGAGGACTACAAACTAAATCATCTCAGCTTGAAGGTTCACACGGATGATTCGAATCAGACGAAGATCTTGGAGATCAAATCGAACGCTGACCTACCACCGTTGAGAAATCCGGATATATTAATCGGAGAGAATAATTTGACGTCTTTGTCGTTCCTTCACGAACCGGCCGTTCTCTACAATCTTCAGATACGTTTCCAAAGACACTGTATCTACACCTACTGCGGCATAGTTTTGGTCGCGTTCAATCCGTACAACGAGCTGCCGATTTATGGAACCGACACGATATGGGCGTACCGAGGCCAGGCGATGGGCGACTTGGAGCCGCATATTTTCGCCGTCGCCGAGGAGGCTTACACGAAACTGGAAAGGTTGAACATTTTATTCGAAGCATGCTGTAGGGTTAGAAAAATAAATTCTTTTTTCTTATTCGTAATCGTAGAAAGATGATAGATTCGATAGATGGACGCGTAGATTACAAGTTTCTCGAGTTAGATGAGCCTTGATAATTGTGAAATTAACGGAATAATCGCAGGGAGGGCCACGATCAGTCGATCATCGTTTCCGGAGAATCAGGCGCAGGGAAAACCGTGTCTGCCAAGTACACGATGCGATACTTCGCGACGGTCGGCGGTTCGACGACCGAAACTCAGGTCGAGAAGAAGGTCCTTGCTTCTCTGCCGATCATGGAGGCGATTGGTAACGCTAAAACGACGAGAAACGACAATTCCTCGAGATTTGGCAAATTCATCGAGATTCAATTCAACAAACACTATCACATCACCGGGGCTAGTATGAGGACCTATCTTCTCGAAAAGTCTAGAGTCGTGTTTCAGGTACACACATGTTTACTTTTCGTTGAATTGTCGCGCGGGGGTGATGGAAGGATTGAATTAAACGAACGATTCTCCAGGCGCAAGAGGAGAGGAATTACCATATATTTTACCAAATGTGCGCAGCAGCCTCGCGTCTTCCACACTTGCATCTGGCGCATCAGAATAAGTTTCACTATTTGAATCAAGGGAACAATCCTATGATAGACGGCGTGAACGATCTGACTTGCTTCGACGAGACGATCACTGCTCTCACGATGCTTGGATTCTCGAGCAAACAGCAGGACTATATGCTTCGTGTTTTAGCGGCTATAATGCACTTGGGGAACGTAAATATAGGGAACTCCGATAGCCAGAGCTCGAGCAACGAGAACGACACCGAGGCCAGCTACATTCACGTAAATATACCACATGCACCAGATTTCTCTTTCTTCTTCGTCGAGATAAACACCTCGTTGTTACCATTTTTCTAGCCGTCGGACAAGCATCTGTTGACGATCTGCGAGCTGTTAGGCACGGACGTGAACGCGATGCGAAAATGGCTCTGCCATAGGAAGATCGTGTCGATGAGGGAAGTGTTTCTGAAGCCTATGAACGTCGAACAAGCGATCGGCGCTAGGGATGCGCTGGCCAAGCACATCTACGCTGAACTGTTCAATTGGATCGTAGCCGGTATAAATAATTCGTTGCAATCTCAGAATAAACCGCAGTGTTTCATCGGTGTACTTGACATTTACGGATTCGAGACCTTCGAAGTGAACTCGTTCGAACAGTTCTGTATAAATTATGCGAACGAGAAGCTCCAGCAGCAGTTCAATCAGCACGTGTTCAAGCTGGAACAGGAGGAGTACATCAAGGAAGAGATCGAATGGACTTTCATAGATTTCTATGATAATCAACCGTGTATCGATCTTATCGAGACGAAATTGGGCATCCTGGATCTCCTGGACGAGGAATGCAGGGTCTGTAGATCACATTTCGATCGATTTAGAGATTTAGAGAATAATTCGTTTCGTTGTTCGGTGATTTTGTACAGATGCCGAAAGGTTCGGACAGCTCCTGGGCAGAGAAGCTTTACGCCAAGTGTGGGAAGTCGAAACACTTCGAGAGACCTAGGTTCGGAACTTCTGCCTTCTTGATCCACCATTTCGCAGACTTGGTGCGATACGAAACGACTGGATTCTTAGAAAAGAACCGAGACACTGTTATCGAGGAACAGGTGGACGTTCTGCGGAACGGAGATGTACGTGAATCTTCTACAAACCTGGATAATCTCGTTTCCCAGTACCTCTCATCTTCTCTCTTCTTTCAGAATAAATTATTGAAGAAATTGTTCAGCGAGGAGGATCCAAAGCTCGTGGTACCGCCTAACGTGAGAGTTAAAGTGTCCGCTCAAAAGCCGGTGATAAGTTCGCCTAAGCAAAATAAGAAAACGGTAACGAGTATAGATCGTGTATAGAAATTTCTCGTGCCTGGAGATGTTGGCGTTTCATTTCTCTACTGTACGAAATTCGTAGGTAGGATCTCAGTTCCGTGACTCGTTGAACATGTTGATGTCGACGCTGAACGCGACCACTCCGCATTACGTGCGCTGCATCAAGCCGAACGATACGAAGGAAGCATTCGAATACAACCCGGTCCGTGCTGTACAGCAATTACGTGCTTGCGGTGTTCTGGAAACGATCAGAATATCAGCGGCTGGTTTCCCCAGTCAGAGAACGTACGGCGAGTTCTTCCTTAGGTACAGATGTCTGTGCAGATTCAAGGATATCCGGCGCGACGATTTTAAGGAAACCTGTCGACGTATATTGGAAAGGTCGGTGATCGAAAGGGTCGAGCGTGTAGGTTTCTCTTTACCTCCAAGGAGAGATAGTTGAACGAATGGGAATTCTTCAGGTACATCAAGGATGAGGATAAGTTCAAGTTTGGCAAGACGAAGGTTCTTTTTCGAGCTGGTCAGGTGGCCTATTTAGAGAAACTACGCGGTGAACGGCAACGAGACGCTTGTATCATGATCCAGAGGACAGCACGCGGGTTTATCTATCGTAGTAGGTACGTGAAGATTCGACGAGCTGTGCTGGGTCTTCAGAGATACGGAAGGGGTTACATCGCGAGGCAAAAGGCTCAGGCGGTGAGGGAGGAAAGAGCGGCGATAAAAATTCAAGCTCGTGTCAAAGGTTGGCTCAAGAGGCGTCGTTACCTCCAGATAAAGCGCACAATTCTCGCCATTCAGACATACGGCAGGGGAAAACTGGCTCGTCAGAGATACCAGCTAATGAAAGACAATGCCGCCGCGATTGTGATACAGAGATTCGCCAGGGGATATCTGGTTCGAATGGCTTGTCAGAAGAAACTCAGCAATATCGTGATCGTTCAAGCTTGCGTGAGAAGGTTCTTGGCGAAACGAGTGTTCAAACGATTGAAGGCCGAGGCGAGAAGCGTGGAGCACGTGAAGTCGTTGAACAAGGGCCTGGAGAAGAAGATCATCACGTTGCAGCAGAAGATCACCGAACTTGTACGTTGTGGATAATTGTTTCTACAGCTTGGAGGAGAAACTGAACGTTGCTTTCTTTCCAGACGAAGGAGAATCAGGTATTGAAGAATCTTCAGAACGAGGTGGTGGATTTGAAGCACAAGCTCGAAGGTTTCAAGTCCGTAGACGCGGAGAATAAGAAATTGAACGTTATACTGATAGAGAAGGAGAAGGAGTTGGAAAAGATACAGGACATAGTGAAGACTGAAAGGGATGAAAAGATGGACATATTACAGGTACTAATTTTTCACGGGAATTTCTTTTTTTAATTCATTTTTTTTTGTTTTGTTTTAAATAGAAAAAAGTTAGGTAATTCTTCTGTTTCGTTCAGGATAAGGAAAGGAGTAATCTCGAGAAAGAACAGGAGAACCAGAAGCTCCAAGGCGAGATTGAAAAATTACGAAAGGATCTTAGAATGGCTAGTGAGAAATTGAAGAACAACCAGCTCGGTGCCGAGGAGAATTTGAAGCACCGATTGGAACAGGAAAAGGATCTCCTCCTGCTGGATCAGGATCAAGATCGTGGCGCGTATCAGAAATTATTGAAAGAGTATCACGAGTTAGAGCAGCACGCAGAAATGTTGGAGCAGAAACTTGCTATGCATGCTCCGGCGCATTCGCGTTCTCTTAGCAACGCTTCGAGCGGTAGCGGGCAAATTGTGTCTACCGAACTTCCTCAGGACGATCAGAATATCGTAAGATTGTCAACGTCGATTAATCCAACGTTTATTTTACGAATTCTTGTAACAAGTATCCGAGCTTTTTACGTTTAATTTTCAAGGATTTGGGTTACGGATCGGTAAGATCGACAGCTTCTTCCTCGACGCCTTATTCACGAGTGGAAACGATCGATTGGAATCAGCAAAGATCCGACAGTCCACCTGACGGAGAGGTTCAACCGCATAAATCACCTTCGGAGACGAATGGACCAGCACACGCACCGGTGGATATCGGTCTAGTCTTAAAACTCCAGCAGAAGTTGAAGGACGTCGAGAAAGAGAAAGGAAGATTGATCAGGATGGTGGAAGATTTAGAGCGTGATAGTCCTGAAGAAGCTTCGAGGATGCAAGACTCTTTTAGGGTAACTTCACGTCCTATCGAAATCAGCCTATTCGAATAATCCACTTTGAAATTAGCGTTTTTTCTTTATCTCATAGCTTCAAGAATTGGAAATGGAAAACGCTCAGTTGAAGAAAGATTTAGGTACACTGAGAAAGAGCGTGAGTTCCGCAGGCCTACCCGGTGCACAGCAAAATCTCATGGGTAATTTGATCCTTTTAATGGCTCAGGAAGTTTTCCATTACTTGCTTTATCGAATACTGTAATTCATTTAACTCTCTTCTCCTTCTTCTTTTTTTTGTACATTTGTCTATTCTATTTGTCTACGTTTTCGCTGTACTATTAACCAACGTTTGGTTTAAAACACGTGCAAATATATACTGCATACTTATAGATTTTGCTTTTGCTTCTTTTGCCCTTTATCTGCTTAATCTGTATGCCTATTGACCTATCGACACACTCCTGCTTTCTGCACAATATCATTACTCCTTTATATTATCGCGTTACCAATGCGTTCAGCAAAATAAAAAGCTTCAGCAGAAACGTTCATTTGCTCTTTCTTCACGAATTTGTCACACCTGCTGTACCTGCGAAACAGCGCTGGATAATACTGGAAATATTCGAATGCGGTACAATAATTTCCATTGCAGGACAATTCGACGCGCTTCAGGAAGAGCTCGAGAGAAGACGCGAGGAGTGCATTCAGCTGCACAGCGTTTTGGCCGATAACACGAGAAGAATGAAGAGCTTAGGCTCGAATTATGGCCGTGACGTGGACATAATAAACGAGGACGGGGAGTTAGTGCTCGCCTTCGAGACGCAGAAAAAGATCAACAGGTAATTACCGATCTGTCGATGTCACCTTCATATCTCTCTCTCTCTCTTCTTCTTCACTAGAAGAAAAACAGCACAGAAAGAAAGTGTCTAATCGTGTTTTGTCGTTTGTGCATGCACTTCGATTTTCAGTAGACTTAAGACAAAGCGAATGGCCTCAAGAGAGTGAGTTGAGAAGATCATTTTGGTGCGAATAGTCAGCGAATTATCCCATTTAGCAATCTCTTATCACCGTTCAATCGGGAATAATCAACGAAATTTGCCGATATTCATTGCTAACTACCATTAGGTTCTCATTTCATTATCATTTAGCTGCTAGTCCTCTCCGGTTTCTTTCGGTTGAACAAGTATCGACGAAAGCTTGGCTCGATCGTTGGATTCGTGTCTAATCCTTTAATTTGTCCTTTCGAAGGCAATTGGAGGACGAGCTTCAAACGAAGGAGAAAGGATGGCGTTCTCAGAGGGACGAATGGAGGGCGGAAATCGACAGGCTGCAGGAGGAAATTGAGAAGCAGCAGAAATTGCTGTCGGTGAATTTGAGCAAATCGCCTCAGACTCAAACAGAGGCTTATATGCAGCACGAAATTGCCAGGCTAACAGCTGAAAATTTGGTAAAAAATTCTACTCACAAGGTGTTTCAAACAAAACCTTTCAAATTTTCATAATACCATTAATCCATATATACAGGAATTACAAGAGAAATACGATAAAATAGCGGAAGAATGCAGGAAGTTCAAGAGGCAATGCAAGATACTCTCGAAACGTCTGAAAGACGCAGGCTGTACGTATAAATTTCAAATTAAACGACAAGCAAAAAAATATTGCTTTACTCATCTTTTGAAAGTGTGAAAAAAAAAAAAAAGAAAGAAAATCACGGTGTAAAAGGAAATGTTATTAAAATTTTCTAATATTCGAATGCTTGCAAAGACGAGGGAGACGATACTAAGGAACAGAAGGATCGCCCTTATATTTCAAAGGGCGCCGGTGAGTGTGGTGGTCCAATGTTCACCTTTATCGCATTTCACGCAGACCATAACTCACCTTAGCTCTCACGAATCAGAATAGATCTCACACATATCTATCTCCGCGTTCGTTCATTTTCACGATGTAACGTAGATGATTCTGCTGATTTTTTTTCGTTACAAGCGTAGACGGTCGTCGACCTATCGGTTGATCGTCTTTGATCATTGACTCGTTTAATCATTGACCTAGTGACGTAACGTCAACAGTGCATACATCTGCGAGTGTATGTGTATGGATGGATAATCGAGTGATTGACACCTGACGAACGAATTGCCTGGAAAACCGTGAGGTGCTGATCACCGAACAAGCAGTATGAATCGGAGCGTCGAAAAAAGAATGAACGAGACGATAAATCAAAGAGCGAACGAAAGGGTGAAATAATAAAGATTCTTCCGGTTTTCCACAAGCTCGATTCCTAGAATATTCGATATTCTTTTCACAGTGCCGGATAATGCTGAATCTGCGACCGATTCTACGATAATGTCTTCCACGAGTCACTCAGGCGAGAGCGGAAACAATTTACCAGCTTAAATTCTGATCTTTCGGATGTAGCGCAAGGATAAAATTCCTCGACATCGGTTATCGTTGATTTATCGGAGCAACTGCACTTTCTTCTCTTCGAGGAGGCACGTTTAATACGATCAGCTTTGCATCTGACGAATATTAAATAGAAACTCTCTAAATCGCTGTTAAAGAAGTCATAATAGTCATCTCTGTACTTACCTTCGTCGGTACCTTTTCCCCTCCCGTTTATCTTCTTTGTTCAATTCTCTAGAAAGTTTCTTAGGCCTGGATGCTTCTGAAATTCCAATATTTTCCTCGAAACGTTTGTCTTTGCTATCACGTTTGTGGAACTTTGTCTGAGTGGATCTGCTTCTGTCAGGTAAATCCGTGGCTTTATCGACTCTTCTTTCTACAATACGAGAATCAATAACTGTTTTTTCCTTCGTATTATCACCGTGCTCTGATATCTTCTTAAATAATCCAGAAAATCCTCCTGAGAGTCTAGATTTTTCTTCTGTTCTCTCTACTTCAGCTTGGGAAGTTTCCTTTTTCACAGCTCGTTTCTTGCGTGATTTCTTCGATTTATGACCGACACCGTATAACTCTAATCCTGCTAATGGATCATACAACGAAGGGCTCTCTGCTCTTGTGTAAATCGTTCTTACAGTTTCCTCTTCAGATTTTGGTTCTACTTCCTCCGCCTTTTCAGTTGCTTCTCGAACGCTTAATGTTTTCACATCTTTCGTAGGTATTTTTCTAGCTTTAATTTTGTCCAGTACCTTTTCCTCTAAGCCAGACTTTTCTTCGTCGGTTTCATCCAAATCTTTCGACTCTCCCAACTCAGAAGAAGTAAACTCTGTTTCTTCCGAATAATCCGTGTCACTTTTCGACACACTTTCAGTCTCCGTTTTAGTTACAGCCTTCGACGTACCATCATCGGTGTCTTTAGTTATTGTCTTCGACGTGCTATCAGTGTGTTCTGATACGGTGGTCATACCTAACGAATAAACACCTTTATCTTCGCTCGTCTCGAATGTGATCTCTGAAGTGCAAGTACAGGGACCCTGAAAAAGCGAATATTTCCTTGCTATCTTGCAATAACATCGTTTATTTAAAATACAAATATAACTACCAATTCGTCGTCCTCTGTTACGTTCCACGCATCCTTTTTCCTAACACCTAACGATGCCCTCGTGTCCGACAATTCGTTGGTATCTTCTACTTGTCGAACACATTTTCGTGGCCGCGAATCTTCCCTCTCGTCTACTTCGAAATAACACGTACCTCTCGCAGCAGATTCCAAGTATCTATTCAACCAAATATCCGTTAAAAAATTGATCATCGTTGCCTACGATTGTTTACTCCAAAAATTACCGTGGTAGTTCTTTCGTGGTAAATTTTTGGCGACACGAAATCCCCCTATTGAAATTTTCCATTTCACAGCTTGCTCTACTTTTCCTCTTAGTCAAGTATCTTCCATCGCTTTCTCTATCTTGGACATTTAACAAGACTTCCTTCTCATCGTCGCAAGAGCACGAAGTAGACGAAGAAGAGTCCTTCGTCTTCCTAATTCTTCTGTACGATTGCACAGGCATCGATCTCTTCCTTCGAAGCATATCGACGATTTTCTTCATCAGAGACGGTCTCCTCCTCTGCAATCCTTCGCACGGTTTTTCCTTATCCTGCTTAAAATCAACGAGTGCTCGTTTTTGTTCCAGAAACACGGCTTGCCTGAGATATCGATGGACAAATATTTCCAAGATTTGGGCTGCTTTCATACTTCCGCTTTACCGAGCCAAGGAATTCTCGCTACCGCACCGACGATTCTATTTATACGACCCAGTTTCCTCTTATCCTCTCGATCCCTCGGAAGTAATTCTTCCGAGTCGTCGTCCACTTCTATGTGTATTACTTCTTCCTCGGAGATCTCCTCGCTCGACCAGTCACCGATCGACATTGACGAATCGGAATCTTTCACTTTGGCACGAACCTTTCTGTGTGCTCTGACCACGAAACCGGAAGTCGGTGATCCACAGCTCGACGACGATTCTCTCACGAACGGCTCGTTAAATATCTAAATGAAAGAGAGAATGTAAACATCGATGAAATTTCTAGGGAATGAGGAAAAAGAATGTTTAAATTCACTTGAATAGTCACGTCGTCCCTAATTCTCTGTGCTTCCACGTCTCTGAACGGTTCCCTCCGTTTCTCAATCTCCAATTCCTCCGGGGACTCGTCCTGGTACGCTGGGATAATTAAACTTACTGAAACTTGTAATACTGTTGATTTAACTTGTACCTGGACTTCTTACTGTAACTGTAAGTGGACTCGGAGCTTCGATCCAAATCTTCCGCGTATTTATCGTCTGTTTGCTCAGCCACGTCCTTTTCCGCTTTCATTTCTTCTTCTTCTTCTTCTTCGATTGGTGCCTTGACTTCTTCTTCTTCTATTGCTACTTCTTCTTCTTCTTCCATTGGTATTTCTTCACCATCATCATCATCATCATCATCTTCTTCTTCTTCTTTTTCTTCTTCTTCCATTGGTATTTCTTCATCTTCTTCTTCTTCTTCTTCTTCTTCAGCTTTCACTGTCGCAATTTCGAATTGATCCTCCGAGGAGTCTCTAGTGTAACAAAGTTTCTTTCAATCACTCGTGCAAATGGAATTTTTAATTACCCTTCTAATTATCTACTTCTCCTCGCTCATGTCGGACAAGTCGCCGTACTCCAACGGTGACCGACAAATGGTACACATATTCTGCAGATCCGCGAAACACTGCGTACAGAAGAGACCGACGCAGCCTGGAGTTGGACATTTCACATGCGGATTATCATCGGAACGCTCGACAGCGGCGCATAGAAGACACATGTCTTGCTTCACCGGGAAACACATATTCAAAAATGGACAGGAAGCCCACAATCTCTCCTTAAAAGTCACTCTCTCAGTCTTCTCTTTGCCACCGTAGCCAAATTTCCTGCGCAACTGACGTCTGGCGAACTTCAGGAAACTCCCTCTCGATCTAATTTCAGGTAAAAATTGACGGAATTTTCTTATCTCGAGGGAAACGTCCAATTCTAAATACCTGATTATGTGATTGTACAACCAAGTCGCTCTCTGCTTAGCTCTCTCAGGATAATACTGACAAAGGACCACGTGCCTCAGCCTCAAACCATAAGGTTCGAAGAATGCGATCAGCCAGCAGAAAATAACGAGAACGACGATCTGAGTGTATTTATCGAGATTAGGAGGTATTGGATCGGGAAGACAGAGCATCGTATCGATTTCTGCGTCTTTTCCATGCGGCGTGAAGGCATTCACTATGCTTCTGTACAGGTCTGATAAGTATCCTTCTCCCGACACGTGTATGGTTACCATGCTAGGTCTTCCAACCTGTGTTTCGAATAAACAATTCACGTTTTAAGTGAAACTGTGATCGATTTGGAATTTACCTTACTTTCGAATCGTCCATAGACTTGAATAGTGTGCAACACCCAATAGAGACTGTAATCTATCGCCATGTAAGCTGCAAGTTTGATCGTAGCCAGGCCTAAAAACACCACAGACCTTGCTAGTTTAGTCTTCTCCGATTTGATTAGAAACACAGAGGACAACGGAGCGTATTTGTTCTTCTCGCGAGGATTCAACGGCAGCACAGTCTCCTTCTCTTGTCGAGCTCGAATTAGATCAATGGTGCGTAGGTCGTCGGTGATGTATCGATTGTCGAAACGTTCGCTTGTTAGCCATTTGAAACGATAACGCATCACTCTGAAAGATATTGCTTACATTGTTGGATGAATTACGTGTGATTCCGCTGATCGTTTCACCTGAGCAGAATGAAGAAGACGAAGAAAGACGTGAGAAAGTTGATCCAATCGAAGAAACCGAACAGCGTGTCGGTCCTCGAACGGATTTCCGTGGCTATGCTCGTAGACACGTCTCTTACGGTACTACTTTGGTTCGTCTCGAAGTGAAACGAATGGGAGAATTTCACTTTTACGTAGAACATCGCCTTCATGTGCATCGTGAACTTTTTTATCTCTGTCGTAACGTTCAATTATTTCCTCTCTTTCGAAAGAATTCGTATTTATCGGAAGGCACTTACTGCTTCGCACAGTTTCGACTATAGTATCAGCCACGTAAGAGACCAGCATGCAAATGAAATCCAGTGGTTTCACCACGTAACAGAGAGTGCTAACTACGTAAGTTACGTTGCAGACAATTCCAAGAATTGGTCCTAATTTCGCCTTGCAATCTGCCACTGCTCCTTCGAAGACGCTTTGACACCTGTCGAACGGTGTGCCTAATTTCTTGTTGCACATGTTTATGACGCTTCCGAGCCATTGGAACACAGCGGTGATTACTTTGACTGGAGAAAAGTGGAAGGTTCATTTAGACAGCCTGTGGAAGCATTTAGAATGCGTTTAGTCCAATTTACGCTCACGTATACTAAGAACGAGCCTCTTAATCGCGATCAGAGTCTGTTTAATTTTCTTCACCACCTGCTTCACCGATTTCACCACTTTCGATATCGCGTCACGTAGAGCGTAGAACGGCTGCTTCGCTAAATCTATCACGCTCTTCACAGCTTCTTTCAATTGTTCCTGAGGCGAGAGTGAGTCAGTCGAGTGAATTTAACCCTTTCGCTAGATTTTAACGCGTAACGCGGCTGACTGAGGGTAAATTTTTAACCACGGCTGAGAAATTTCTTATTTTCAAATTCGGTTTAATCGATCAGGGTGGAAGTGCGCCAAAAAGGCTTGAAACGTAACGAAAGGGTTAACGGTGGTGAATTAAGGTGGTTTGATGGGTACTTGTGCGCAGGTCAGCGACTCTGAGAGCACGGCAGTGTTGTGCAGAGTGTTCTTCACCGGTCCTGTTATCGCTAAAATGAAGGCGTACGCCATCAACGCCTGCCTTCCGCGTTTAGAGAAGAATTGCGGCAACAGTAGAAACACGACACACCTAAAGAAAGAAATATATAGAAACGAAGCTTTCGAGAGGGAAAGAATACTCTTGGTGTACCTAACGCGTAAAGAAAAAGCTAGACCAAGGGTGAGAATTGTTCCAAGTATTGTGCAGAGGAACGTGGCGGAGGAGAGCTTGAAATGCAGTTGGAAAACGAAGAATATGAAAAAGATGTAGGTCAGAAATATTCCACCGACGAATCCTAAAAGGCTCTTCGCCACGTAATTTTCCAAAGTACCGTCCGTACGAATTGCGACAATTTTTCGATACGTCCAAGTGCCCTTCGGTACAGCTAGGATTTTATCGCACAAGTTTCGTACCTTCTTCTTCAACCTGTTTCAATTTAATTTTTTTATTACAATTTCTTCTATCTCGTGGAATTTGTCGGTTGCTCGAAAGCTTTTCGATCTAACCGTAGCTTTCTCCGACGAAATCTCTGCTTGAGAGTGTATCGAGGCCTGTCACCTTTTGAGATCTCGATCGACGTCAGCTTCTCGTCCTCGTATCTCTGTCTGGTTTTTTCCAACTTTCTGGCTTGCAGAAGCAACTGGAAGAACGCCATATCTGTCGCTAATTTATCATACCTCTAGCTACAACTGAAATTAGTTTCTCCCGCTCGTGTCAGTTTGGTAATTGATCGCTAACTTAAATCTACGGTTAAATTACACTGCAAGTGGTTATGTATAAACGTGACATTTCTCAAATTCGATTTCACTTTTTCTCTCTCTTCCTATCTAAACGAATAAAATACACACACACACACACACATGTTATCTTAACTATTTCTATGTTTATTTCGTCTGGCGTTTTTTTTTTTGTTCTGTTACTGACACAAAGTTACTCGTGTCCGCGTTATCTGCCGCGCCGATAACGTATCGTAGGAGCAAACGACTGATAATTAGCTCGCGGAACCGCGCAAAATTTGAACGAACGAGTCGTCTACGAAAACTTCCTATCGTCGATAAAATACGAATTTTCAAATTCGAAATTTTCCCAGATATGACACTCGAGCGATCCTAATTTTCGAATTTTGCATAAAACAGGAATTTTTCTCAACGTTGCTAAGTAGCTCGTAAACAAGATTTCCAATTAAAATCGCGACAGTCGTAAAGGGGACGTAAAATGGTCGAAAAAAAAAGAAAATGGCACTTTATTTGGGAAAAAGGACACCTGTCCGGTGGAAAAATGACAGAAGCCCCCGTTGTTGAGCTCGGCGGTGAGATGGCGTGGAACTCGCTGTTCGATCGTCGAACAGAGACGGCAAGAGCTACCTTGAATGGAAAGAACGAGGAGAGGGAAGGTCTGTTCAGCTCGCGAGCTGTGTAGAGTGGTCGAGCAAGAAGACGAAGAGGGGCGCCGAATCTAAACCCGATAACGAACCAGCTGGTGGCAGTGCCGTCGTACGACGTTTACGTGGAAGTACGACCTTCGTGTGAAAATCCATTTTCCATTCGTTCTCTCGCCCGCCTGGATTTTTAACGCGAAAACGTGACAAAGAAAGGGAAAAGGAGGAAAACCGTAGAGGCAGAGAGAGAGAGAGAGAGCGTGCCTGCAAATGAAGGAGAATTCAATCTAATCTGCAGTGCGATTTCTTGTCAGTTTCTATCTGTGTTCGATCCTCGTTAGAATTTCTACAGCATCGAGGAACGAGTCGAACTCACTCGCAGGCAGATAGACAGAGCGAGGTTGAAAGAGAGAAGGAGTAAAACTAGCGGAGAGGAAAAAAAAATAAAAACAGAAACATGCCGTGACCGCAGCTTAGGTGACATCAGGATGTATCGTACAGTCGAGGGAAAATCACGGTGTTCTTAGCGCATGGTTACAAAGCTCGCTATTAAACGACAAATGTCGTAGGTATTCTTATCTGTGCCTAGGTGTGTGCGTGTGTGCGTGAAGTCGTGGTGTGTGCCTGATTTCCTCGCTCGTACCTGACCTGACCCAGGTGGAACACCTGGACCAACAACCATGACTACGAGGGAGTTATACGTGAAGGTACGGATACCAGTTTCGGATTCACACTCAGCCAAGCAGGTACTCTCCGAGCCAGTTCTACGATGGCAACTGGTTTAGAGTAGCATTCTGCTCGAGATCTTGTCTCGCTGTTGACATTTGCTATTGGCATTTCTTTTTCTCTCTCTCTCTCTCTCTCTCTCTCTCTCTCTCTCTGTAGAAGCTACGTCAAAGGTACGTTATATACTTGCCGCATTATCCAACGAGAAACGTAATCTCGGAGAAAGTAAACAAGTATCGCTGTTGGATGATCGGGCAAACTGGATGTACAGTAGCGGTGTAAAACTGTCGTATTTGTTTGAAACGGTTAAAGGATAAGATTGTTGCCGTGTGTGTGTTTCCAGAGAGTTTCAATTATATCGTCGATAATAACGGTATCTTGTTTTAGGACGTTGTGCAAAGTTCATTTGTACAGAGAGAGATACTCGCGTATTCTCTTTTCGACAGCGAAGGTAAGAGTTTGCTCTGTTGTCGAGAATGCCTTCCGGCTGATGTGCGTTTGAATAGAGTTGCTGCAAGCATATGTGCAATTTTGTCTTTTTCGTGAATTTTCCAACATTTTTCTTTCAACGTTTCGAATAAAATTGCACGATGTACGTTGGTCGTTTCGGGGTAAATACATGTGGTGTAACTAGATTGACCGAGATTCTATCGATTTTCACTTTGTTCGCGATATCATGCTCCTGTTTCAATTTTGCCTCATGGGCTTTCTGGAGTTTGTGCGCGAGGGAACGCGATATTGATTATATCTCTCAAGTTCGACAAATGCCACGAGACGTATAACAGTGGTTAAAAACTGAAACGGAGCGAGGATGCGCGTTTGTTGTAAAAACGAAGAAGAAACTTTCTTCTTTTCTTCCCGTCGCTGGTGCGTAACAAGTACGGTTAATTGTTTGAGAAAATGATGGGACAGTTAATATATTGCTTCAATTACTCCTCGAGTATTATATATTATCGCTTCTCGAGCGAAGGTGTATTTCTCAGGCAACGCTTAGAAACGACTTTCACGAGAGGTGTCTGTTTCTTTGAACTTTTACACAAGTAATTTACAATGTTTTTAGGTACGTAATTCTCGGCTCTCTGTATTCTACACTTGACGACGATCGTTCGTTAGATTTCCCTTTCACAATTGTGAATATGCGGTATGATACCCTTGCAATTGTATGCTGTTCGGTTGAGGAGAGGAACGGGGCTGGAGTAGAGTCGAAATCCGGAAGAGCTTCTTTTCAAAAGAACAAATCAATAATTGTCCTAAATTCCACTTTTAAAAGCGGCCACTGCTACGCGATCGCGGCTAGGTTGAAGAACGCGATAATATTTGTCGTGTGCGGGCTCTCGACAAGTGGATTGTCACGTCGAAACGTTCTGTTCGGTGTCCCTGAACATGAAATACCGATCGTGCCGTCTCCAACTGACAATTCAACCAACGCATCGTCGATTTTTAATTGCCTACTTAAACGCGTTTCAATTAATCTTTTACCAGCGTGTACGTCGTAGAACCAGACAACTAGTTGAATTCGCGAGAAAAATATTACCGTGAAAAAAAAAAGAAGAAGAAGAAGCGTGACGTTGTTTTTTCTTTTTCTTCGAATCAGCTGATAATTACTCGGGTAACATTATTAACCGTGAGAACGTTGCGTAGGAAACAGCATGACGAACGTAGAAAAACGACACTGTGAGAATAGCTAGTCGACGGGAACGGAGTTTAATCCAGCCTGAACCTGCCCCTTTAAAGTCGCACCGTGGCTCTCCATCTTGCCTGATTTATCGCCTTGGTCAGGTGAAGTTGCGAGGGTTGTCCGAGGTCGCTCGGTAATTTTTCCCGTTTCCCTCCACGTTACTCATCTTATCGGCCATCTCTTCGAGAAAAAGTATCGAGAAACGTTCTACAAGAAAGCATACTCTTTAAAACTACCCTGTATACACATCTATACTCGTTGTTCAAGTCACGGACAGAGAACTATTTCTCGTACAGAGAGGTTGTATTGATTTAGTCACCTTACGGATGGACTTTCGTTTCACGGTTCGATCGAAATTTTCTCATGCCGGTACAATTACGCAACACCTGGTGATCGAGGATTTTTACGAACCAGTTTCGACACACTTAGGCAAACACAGACGCACACGGGATTCGTAATAAAATAGAACGTCGTTCAGGTATAGTCCGGTTTGTGACACGAGGAAATAACGAAATTGCATTATGCAATACGAAATTGAAACACGAGACGTATAGTCTCGATCGCACCTTTACATTTAAAGGTAAGCTAACCCCATTGGAAACTGTTGCTCGCACGATCAGTTCGAGGAACGTGATCAGTTAGACTTCTCTTCGACGAGCAGCCACAGTTCCCTTTCTCTCGGAACGGAGTAGCAAAACGTCTTGGAACAGGTCGTTCTCCTTGCTTCTTCGTGTTCCTCCCCTCTGACAGAGTGGCAAAGTTACTCTCGCTACGATCCCGCTCTTCTGTTCCGCGTGATTTTCACCCGAAAGGTCAGGCGAGAAGATTTCTACCAGAAGAAGGAAAGAAAATTCGTCACTCGCGATGACTAACGCGAGAACGACGATCGTGTTCGTAGAATTAAGCGTATCCTTCTTCACTTTCACGAGCTGTGTCTCCTTGGACGGTTCGTCGAAATATTTCTACACCGTAGAATGTGAACTTTCGTGAACTTTAAATCGACTCGTGACGATGACAAGGTGATACAGCAATTTCAACAACCGAGCTCTCCCCTCGTTCGCTATAAACACAGCCTTACGATCGCCCTTTTGTGCAGCCTCCGTGAAAAACGAGGATTCCTCGCGGCGAAATCTCCCACGAATGGCGATCTTTCTCAACGGAGACATTGCTGAAAGTACAAACTGGCGTTTCTCACGCTCGTGAAAACTCCTGTTTGTACGTAGTATGCCATAATTCCAACTCGATAGCGGATGTTCGATTAGAGAGGAAGAAGTTCGGTGGAGGAATTGTTTTCAGGCGTTCGTGAAAGGTGGCCTGGTTGCACGGGGCACGTTCATTGTCGGTTCATCGAAAGGGAAACTGTTGGGTGCGCCAGGGTGCAAGGCGGCAAATAGTGGCCGTGCAGTGTCAACGATGCCAATTTCCACGCACGTGGCGGAGGGGAAAAAAAATATAGCCTGTACGTGGGCGGGAAACTTGACCCGGTTATTCTCAATAACGAAGAGGACCTCGGCACCTTTTCTCGGCAACCAGCCGACGATCGATCTGACGACCGCGGAATACGCGAGCGTGTCGTTTAGATGCGGTTTTCTCTGAATGCACTTTTCAATTCGCCTGCTCGACGCGTAACAGCGTAAATGCTCGGCAACGCACAATCGTCGAGGTTTCTGCTTGTGGCTGTATGTACACTGTTCGCTTTGACAGATATCGATAAATGTCACAAGTTTCTCGAGATAACGTTCGGTAAACATTCCGAGTATGTAATTTACTGAACAAGTGCAACCGCCTTGTAGATATCGTGTTCTTTTTTTTTTTTTTTAAAGAAAGAAGAAGGAGAACGATACAATTTACCTTACGTCAGTTGTGTTACCTTTATTACGTTAGGGTCTTAATTTTGAAGAGAAAGGTTTCCAGACCGTCCTTAGCCTTCATCTTGATCAATAAAGAAGTGGAACGATCGGGGTTTTCCAAGTTTCCGTGCTGTAATCATCCGGTCGCCGTGAACATTGTATCTGTTTGTACTTTGTGGGAGGAATCGGTGGCGAAATGATTCATTGTCGTGCGGTTTCGCTGCTAAGCGATAAGATTATAGCTTCTATCTTCCTCTTCCTAGTTAGACGCGAACGTTACAAACAATTCGAGGTTGGTGCAGTTGAATCGCACTGAATGAAATTCAATTTTAAAAAGCATTTTAACCGTCTAGATCAATTTTTTCATTCTTCTCAAAAATACCAAGATAGATCTTTCGGAAAAAAAAAGATGGATAAATCTGTCGCTTTGCGTTACGAACTAGAACCGCGATACTTCATTGAATTTACCATCGTGACAATTGATAATGTTAAAGTTTTAACGGCGAAGTAGCACAGTGGAAAAAAGTTGCGTAGTTTGAAAGATTGAAACGAGCCGTGGGTGGAACGCGACAGAAGCCGTAGATCGGTGGTCGGTTGGCAAAGCTCAGACACAACACGAGAGTGGGCTGCATTTACACAGGCGCCGAAGCTTCCCTTGTATTTGCCCGATGCATACGTGGAAGCGCGTCGAAAGTACCCTGGAATTTTCGTCTGTCGGTAGCAGAGGCGTGAAACATACGTGAATGGGTGGAAAGGGGAGATTTGCGTATCTAATTAGACGTTATGCAATTGAACGAGAGTCGTGAGAGAGAAGCCGAGGTTGAGGGAACGGTAATTAATTGGGCGACGAAGAAAAAATGGGGGGAAAGTTAGAGAGGAGAGGGTTGTAATTCTCATCTACGAACTTAGCAATTGTCGCGTGCAGGTTCACTCTCATTCTGACCAGCTTTTCAATTAGCAAGCCGCGTGGGAACACGGTAGGATTCTGCTTTTTCTATTCCCATTCCGCGAGAGGTATACGAGTAATCGTTATTTGGTACGTAACGTAGAAAGCATGGGAACTATTTTATTCGGTACACTTGGAACGTACGAAGTCGACCGTCAAATTGTTCCGTTCGTAAAGTAGAAACGTGGCGGGAAATGAGTGGTATTAAAGTGATAGGGGAGACCTGGTTGGTATTATTCATCGATCGTTTCCTTCTCTCAAATTCAATTAAAAACTATTTCCAAGAACTTTGGAGTCTCGAGTGCGAGATTATCCGGTGTATCGTCGTTCGAATTCTTTGCGTAACTTTGTTTCTCTCCTTTTTTCTCATTTCTTCTTACTTTCCTATCAATTTTCGCGAGCGTCGCGGATTACGCCTGAGCGAAAGTAGCACGTTACGAAATTCCACAATTCGCCGAGATGAATTCGTAATTGTGCAACCTGAGATTGCCAAGTCAGCAATCAGCTAACCTCGAAACGCGAAAATTGAAATAACCACGGAGTGTACGCAACCTCGTAATCATTGTTGAATTATAGTGCACATTTTCTACGTCCAAGCAGGATCATGTTCAATTCTCGACGATACTCTTCCGCTTCAAGTTCCCTGGAAAAGAAGTATCTCGGAATATTATTCAGAAAATTTGTAATGTCGCGAGGTTCATTTACATACCGGCCGGCACTTTCGGTTTTTCTCCATTGTTTCTTTTCTCATACTTTTTTCTGTGTCCTTCAAATGACGCGTTGCGCAATAGTTGACATACAAGATCGGATCGTGAGAGTTCACGGTTACTTTTCACCTCTTTCTACACCGAGTCGAGTCGCTTTCCCCGACAATACATCAAACGTTTCGCTGTTTTTTTTTTTTCAATCGTATCTCTAACCAGCCTTCTGACGCAACTGTGACACGGTGAACACACGAGGGGGAGAGAATGAAAAAGATAAAGTTCAAAGAGACGGTGAACTTTACCGTTGCTCGATATTTCTTCAGATCACGTAATCGTGCCTTTTGTTTGGACACCGTCGTCTGTGCTGCTCGATAACAGTACATTTTGGTGTTTCGTGTCTCATTTGTATGATACCGTTACGAATTCTTTTCTTTTTCACCGTCATTCCGAACAGAGAATGAAATTCAAATCTCGTTTGACAAATCACCTCGTGTGTACACAAGTACTTATGAAAGAAGAACGTCCCCCAGTTTGCGGTTAAAAAGTAATAACAGCACTAACGCGATAACCAATCCTGATTTGGCGCACTCGGCGTCGGAATCGATATGCTGTATTGCCGACCTCATTTTCATACGTACCGCTCGCAAAAAGGAAAAGCAGGTCATCTTTTCAGGAGAAGGAAAATTAGACGGTAAGTAATTAACTCGTACGTGCTCGTTCGTTCTTCTTGAAAAAAAGAGAGAGAAAATGTACTTCCTTCGCGTGCAACCACGTAATCTACGGATGATTCCTCCGCTAGTATTATCCTGATAATTATTCGCAGAGAGTGTTACGAACTGAACGGTAATACCAAGTGTTATAGGAAATAAAATAGAAAAAGAATATAATTATTTAAGGAGAATGTTACACCGAAACTTTGCCATCGTAAGAAACTGACCAGAGTACCAAGGCGTCGAGAAAAATTGGTAAAATAAAGGAAAAAGCACACTTTGTGAAGAAGGAATCTGTATGTTGTTTAGGGTGGTAGGGTATGGGTGCCGCATCCGGTGAAGATCTGGGAAGGCGCGGTGATCCTGGAGGACTACAAACTAAATCATCTCAGCTTGAAGGTTCACACGGATGATTCGAATCAGACGAAGATCTTGGAGATCAAATCGAACGCTGACCTACCACCGTTGAGAAATCCGGATATATTAATCGGAGAGAATAATTTGACGTCTTTGTCGTTCCTTCACGAACCGGCCGTTCTCTACAATCTTCAGATACGTTTCCAAAGACACTGTATCTACACCTACTGCGGCATAGTTTTGGTCGCGTTCAATCCGTACAACGAGCTGCCGATTTATGGAACCGACACGATATGGGCGTACCGAGGCCAGGCGATGGGCGACTTGGAGCCGCATATTTTCGCCGTCGCCGAGGAGGCTTACACGAAACTGGAAAGGTTGAACATTTTATTCGAAGCATGCTGTAGGGTTAGAAAAATAAATTCTTTTTTCTTATTCGTAATCGTAGAAAGATGATAGATTCGATAGATGGACGCGTAGATTACAAGTTTCTCGAGTTAGATGAGCCTTGATAATTGTGAAATTAACGGAATAATCGCAGGGAGGGCCACGATCAGTCGATCATCGTTTCCGGAGAATCAGGCGCAGGGAAAACCGTGTCTGCCAAGTACACGATGCGATACTTCGCGACGGTCGGCGGTTCGACGACCGAAACTCAGGTCGAGAAGAAGGTCCTTGCTTCTCTGCCGATCATGGAGGCGATTGGTAACGCTAAAACGACGAGAAACGACAATTCCTCGAGATTTGGCAAATTCATCGAGATTCAATTCAACAAACACTATCACATCACCGGGGCTAGTATGAGGACCTATCTTCTCGAAAAGTCTAGAGTCGTGTTTCAGGTACACACATGTTTACTTTTCGTTGAATTGTCGCGCGGGGGTGATGGAAGGATTGAATTAAACGAACGATTCTCCAGGCGCAAGAGGAGAGGAATTACCATATATTTTACCAAATGTGCGCAGCAGCCTCGCGTCTTCCACACTTGCATCTGGCGCATCAGAATAAGTTTCACTATTTGAATCAAGGGAACAATCCTATGATAGACGGCGTGAACGATCTGACTTGCTTCGACGAGACGATCACTGCTCTCACGATGCTTGGATTCTCGAGCAAACAGCAGGACTATATGCTTCGTGTTTTAGCGGCTATAATGCACTTGGGGAACGTAAATATAGGGAACTCCGATAGCCAGAGCTCGAGCAACGAGAACGACACCGAGGCCAGCTACATTCACGTAAATATACCACATGCACCAGATTTCTCTTTCTTCTTCGTCGAGATAAACACCTCGTTGTTACCATTTTTCTAGCCGTCGGACAAGCATCTGTTGACGATCTGCGAGCTGTTAGGCACGGACGTGAACGCGATGCGAAAATGGCTCTGCCATAGGAAGATCGTGTCGATGAGGGAAGTGTTTCTGAAGCCTATGAACGTCGAACAAGCGATCGGCGCTAGGGATGCGCTGGCCAAGCACATCTACGCTGAACTGTTCAATTGGATCGTAGCCGGTATAAATAATTCGTTGCAATCTCAGAATAAACCGCAGTGTTTCATCGGTGTACTTGACATTTACGGATTCGAGACCTTCGAAGTGAACTCGTTCGAACAGTTCTGTATAAATTATGCGAACGAGAAGCTCCAGCAGCAGTTCAATCAGCACGTGTTCAAGCTGGAACAGGAGGAGTACATCAAGGAAGAGATCGAATGGACTTTCATAGATTTCTATGATAATCAACCGTGTATCGATCTTATCGAGACGAAATTGGGCATCCTGGATCTCCTGGACGAGGAATGCAGGGTCTGTAGATCACATTTCGATCGATTTAGAGATTTAGAGAATAATTCGTTTCGTTGTTCGGTGATTTTGTACAGATGCCGAAAGGTTCGGACAGCTCCTGGGCAGAGAAGCTTTACGCCAAGTGTGGGAAGTCGAAACACTTCGAGAGACCTAGGTTCGGAACTTCTGCCTTCTTGATCCACCATTTCGCAGACTTGGTGCGATACGAAACGACTGGATTCTTAGAAAAGAACCGAGACACTGTTATCGAGGAACAGGTGGACGTTCTGCGGAACGGAGATGTACGTGAATCTTCTACAAACCTGGATAATCTCGTTTCCCAGTACCTCTCATCTTCTCTCTTCTTTCAGAATAAATTATTGAAGAAATTGTTCAGCGAGGAGGATCCAAAGCTCGTGGTACCGCCTAACGTGAGAGTTAAAGTGTCCGCTCAAAAGCCGGTGATAAGTTCGCCTAAGCAAAATAAGAAAACGGTAACGAGTATAGATCGTGTATAGAAATTTCTCGTGCCTGGAGATGTTGGCGTTTCATTTCTCTACTGTACGAAATTCGTAGGTAGGATCTCAGTTCCGTGACTCGTTGAACATGTTGATGTCGACGCTGAACGCGACCACTCCGCATTACGTGCGCTGCATCAAGCCGAACGATACGAAGGAAGCATTCGAATACAACCCGGTCCGTGCTGTACAGCAATTACGTGCTTGCGGTGTTCTGGAAACGATCAGAATATCAGCGGCTGGTTTCCCCAGTCAGAGAACGTACGGCGAGTTCTTCCTTAGGTACAGATGTCTGTGCAGATTCAAGGATATCCGGCGCGACGATTTTAAGGAAACCTGTCGACGTATATTGGAAAGGTCGGTGATCGAAAGGGTCGAGCGTGTAGGTTTCTCTTTACCTCCAAGGAGAGATAGTTGAACGAATGGGAATTCTTCAGGTACATCAAGGATGAGGATAAGTTCAAGTTTGGCAAGACGAAGGTTCTTTTTCGAGCTGGTCAGGTGGCCTATTTAGAGAAACTACGCGGTGAACGGCAACGAGACGCTTGTATCATGATCCAGAGGACAGCACGCGGGTTTATCTATCGTAGTAGGTACGTGAAGATTCGACGAGCTGTGCTGGGTCTTCAGAGATACGGAAGGGGTTACATCGCGAGGCAAAAGGCTCAGGCGGTGAGGGAGGAAAGAGCGGCGATAAAAATTCAAGCTCGTGTCAAAGGTTGGCTCAAGAGGCGTCGTTACCTCCAGATAAAGCGCACAATTCTCGCCATTCAGACATACGGCAGGGGAAAACTGGCTCGTCAGAGATACCAGCTAATGAAAGACAATGCCGCCGCGATTGTGATACAGAGATTCGCCAGGGGATATCTGGTTCGAATGGCTTGTCAGAAGAAACTCAGCAATATCGTGATCGTTCAAGCTTGCGTGAGAAGGTTCTTGGCGAAACGAGTGTTCAAACGATTGAAGGCCGAGGCGAGAAGCGTGGAGCACGTGAAGTCGTTGAACAAGGGCCTGGAGAAGAAGATCATCACGTTGCAGCAGAAGATCACCGAACTTGTACGTTGTGGATAATTGTTTCTACAGCTTGGAGGAGAAACTGAACGTTGCTTTCTTTCCAGACGAAGGAGAATCAGGTATTGAAGAATCTTCAGAACGAGGTGGTGGATTTGAAGCACAAGCTCGAAGGTTTCAAGTCCGTAGACGCGGAGAATAAGAAATTGAACGTTATACTGATAGAGAAGGAGAAGGAGTTGGAAAAGATACAGGACATAGTGAAGACTGAAAGGGATGAAAAGATGGACATATTACAGGTACTAATTTTTCACGGGAATTTCTTTTTTTAATTCATTTTTTTTTGTTTTGTTTTAAATAGAAAAAAGTTAGGTAATTCTTCTGTTTCGTTCAGGATAAGGAAAGGAGTAATCTCGAGAAAGAACAGGAGAACCAGAAGCTCCAAGGCGAGATTGAAAAATTACGAAAGGATCTTAGAATGGCTAGTGAGAAATTGAAGAACAACCAGCTCGGTGCCGAGGAGAATTTGAAGCACCGATTGGAACAGGAAAAGGATCTCCTCCTGCTGGATCAGGATCAAGATCGTGGCGCGTATCAGAAATTATTGAAAGAGTATCACGAGTTAGAGCAGCACGCAGAAATGTTGGAGCAGAAACTTGCTATGCATGCTCCGGCGCATTCGCGTTCTCTTAGCAACGCTTCGAGCGGTAGCGGGCAAATTGTGTCTACCGAACTTCCTCAGGACGATCAGAATATCGTAAGATTGTCAACGTCGATTAATCCAACGTTTATTTTACGAATTCTTGTAACAAGTATCCGAGCTTTTTACGTTTAATTTTCAAGGATTTGGGTTACGGATCGGTAAGATCGACAGCTTCTTCCTCGACGCCTTATTCACGAGTGGAAACGATCGATTGGAATCAGCAAAGATCCGACAGTCCACCTGACGGAGAGGTTCAACCGCATAAATCACCTTCGGAGACGAATGGACCAGCACACGCACCGGTGGATATCGGTCTAGTCTTAAAACTCCAGCAGAAGTTGAAGGACGTCGAGAAAGAGAAAGGAAGATTGATCAGGATGGTGGAAGATTTAGAGCGTGATAGTCCTGAAGAAGCTTCGAGGATGCAAGACTCTTTTAGGGTAACTTCACGTCCTATCGAAATCAGCCTATTCGAATAATCCACTTTGAAATTAGCGTTTTTTCTTTATCTCATAGCTTCAAGAATTGGAAATGGAAAACGCTCAGTTGAAGAAAGATTTAGGTACACTGAGAAAGAGCGTGAGTTCCGCAGGCCTACCCGGTGCACAGCAAAATCTCATGGGTAATTTGATCCTTTTAATGGCTCAGGAAGTTTTCCATTACTTGCTTTATCGAATACTGTAATTCATTTAACTCTCTTCTCCTTCTTCTTTTTTTTGTACATTTGTCTATTCTATTTGTCTACGTTTTCGCTGTACTATTAACCAACGTTTGGTTTAAAACACGTGCAAATATATACTGCATACTTATAGATTTTGCTTTTGCTTCTTTTGCCCTTTATCTGCTTAATCTGTATGCCTATTGACCTATCGACACACTCCTGCTTTCTGCACAATATCATTACTCCTTTATATTATCGCGTTACCAATGCGTTCAGCAAAATAAAAAGCTTCAGCAGAAACGTTCATTTGCTCTTTCTTCACGAATTTGTCACACCTGCTGTACCTGCGAAACAGCGCTGGATAATACTGGAAATATTCGAATGCGGTACAATAATTTCCATTGCAGGACAATTCGACGCGCTTCAGGAAGAGCTCGAGAGAAGACGCGAGGAGTGCATTCAGCTGCACAGCGTTTTGGCCGATAACACGAGAAGAATGAAGAGCTTAGGCTCGAATTATGGCCGTGACGTGGACATAATAAACGAGGACGGGGAGTTAGTGCTCGCCTTCGAGACGCAGAAAAAGATCAACAGGTAATTACCGATCTGTCGATGTCACCTTCATATCTCTCTCTCTCTCTTCTTCTTCACTAGAAGAAAAACAGCACAGAAAGAAAGTGTCTAATCGTGTTTTGTCGTTTGTGCATGCACTTCGATTTTCAGTAGACTTAAGACAAAGCGAATGGCCTCAAGAGAGTGAGTTGAGAAGATCATTTTGGTGCGAATAGTCAGCGAATTATCCCATTTAGCAATCTCTTATCACCGTTCAATCGGGAATAATCAACGAAATTTGCCGATATTCATTGCTAACTACCATTAGGTTCTCATTTCATTATCATTTAGCTGCTAGTCCTCTCCGGTTTCTTTCGGTTGAACAAGTATCGACGAAAGCTTGGCTCGATCGTTGGATTCGTGTCTAATCCTTTAATTTGTCCTTTCGAAGGCAATTGGAGGACGAGCTTCAAACGAAGGAGAAAGGATGGCGTTCTCAGAGGGACGAATGGAGGGCGGAAATCGACAGGCTGCAGGAGGAAATTGAGAAGCAGCAGAAATTGCTGTCGGTGAATTTGAGCAAATCGCCTCAGACTCAAACAGAGGCTTATATGCAGCACGAAATTGCCAGGCTAACAGCTGAAAATTTGGTAAAAAATTCTACTCACAAGGTGTTTCAAACAAAACCTTTCAAATTTTCATAATACCATTAATCCATATATACAGGAATTACAAGAGAAATACGATAAAATAGCGGAAGAATGCAGGAAGTTCAAGAGGCAATGCAAGATACTCTCGAAACGTCTGAAAGACGCAGGCTGTACGTATAAATTTCAAATTAAACGACAAGCAAAAAAATATTGCTTTACTCATCTTTTGAAAGTGTGAAAAAAAAAAAAAAGAAAGAAAATCACGGTGTAAAAGGAAATGTTATTAAAATTTTCTAATATTCGAATGCTTGCAAAGACGAGGGAGACGATACTAAGGAACAGAAGGATCGCCCTTATATTTCAAAGGGCGCCGGTGAGTGTGGTGGTCCAATGTTCACCTTTATCGCATTTCACGCAGACCATAACTCACCTTAGCTCTCACGAATCAGAATAGATCTCACACATATCTATCTCCGCGTTCGTTCATTTTCACGATGTAACGTAGATGATTCTGCTGATTTTTTTTCGTTACAAGCGTAGACGGTCGTCGACCTATCGGTTGATCGTCTTTGATCATTGACTCGTTTAATCATTGACCTAGTGACGTAACGTCAACAGTGCATACATCTGCGAGTGTATGTGTATGGATGGATAATCGAGTGATTGACACCTGACGAACGAATTGCCTGGAAAACCGTGAGGTGCTGATCACCGAACAAGCAGTATGAATCGGAGCGTCGAAAAAAGAATGAACGAGACGATAAATCAAAGAGCGAACGAAAGGGTGAAATAATAAAGATTCTTCCGGTTTTCCACAAGCTCGATTCCTAGAATATTCGATATTCTTTTCACAGTGCCGGATAATGCTGAATCTGCGACCGATTCTACGATAATGTCTTCCACGAGTCACTCAGGCGAGAGCGGAAACAATTTACCAGCTATACGAAAGAAGGAGAGGGACTACGAGGGGATGTTTGAATTTAAGAAAGAAGACATCAACAAAATAATACGTCATCTGGTGATAGGTAATCGATCGACGAACAAATAGACTGTAAAATTTCCGAATTTTCAAAAGATATCTCGAGGGTTCGATGATTTCTTGCAGATTTGAAACCCAGGGTCTCCGTGACGTTGCTTCCTGGTTTACCAGCGTACATTCTCTTCATGTGTATAAGACACACAGATTGTATAAACGACGATGAGAAAGTGAGATTGTTACTAACTGGCTACCTGAACGCTGTGAAACGCGTGGTCAAGAAACGAGAGGATTTCGACTCGTGTGTGCTTTGGCTTAGTAATACATTAAGGCTGTTGCACAATATGAAACAGTACTCCGGGGATAAACCGTTCCAAATCGAGAACACTCCGCGACAAAACGAACAGTGTCTGAGAAATTTCGATTTAAGCGAGTACCGCGTTGTACTGAGCAACGTGGCGCTCTGGATCTTTAACAATATCCTAACGAACCTCAAAGAGAGGATTCAGGCTCTAACAGTGCCTGCTCTCCTCGAGCACGAGGCCATAACCGGTCTAGATTCTAACAGAATTGGTGCACGTCCACGGTCCTCTTCTATGGGAGAAGAACCAGAGTCTACTCAGCAGAAACTTAACAAACTTCTGGACGAGCTCACTTCGGTGTACAAAACTCTGCAGTATCACGGTGTCGATGTTGAAATAATTGTGCAAATTTTCAAACAACTGTTCTACTTCATGTGCGCCAGTGCATTGAACAATTTGCTCCTGAGGAACGAACTTTGCCACTGGGCGAAAGGCATGCAAATAAGGTCCGTAAGAGGTTCTTTTCTTCTTTTTTTTTTTTAAGATTTAAATTCTAAGATTCACGTTGAATCTTCTTCAGATATAATTTGAGCCATTTGGAGCAATGGGGAAGGGATCGTAACTTAGAAGCAGCGTCGAAAGTGCTTCAGCCGATCGTACAAGCGGCACATCTTTTACAAGCCCGTAAAACCGACGAGGACGTGAATTCCGTCTGCGAGATGTGCAATAAACTAACCGCCAATCAGATAGTGAAGATTCTAAATTTGTACACACCCGCTGACGACTTCGAGACGCGTGTACCTGTCTCGTTTATCAAAAAGGTGCAGAGTAAATTGAGTGAACGTGGAGAGAACAACGAACAAGTAAGTGTAGAAGACACCGGTTTTAAGAAACGACGATATATCAATAAGGGGGATTACGAAACAAAAATATATCTTTTTCAGCTGTTAATGGATCTAATGTATTCGTATCCAGTAAGATTCCCATTCAATCCATCGGATATTCGATTAGAGGACATCGAAATACCGGAAGTACTTCAATTGCCTATGCTCAAAAAGGTGTAATCATAGCAAAAGTGAAAACTTAGCGGCCCTGCTACGCATAGAACTTTTAGTTGAGTAACCCGTCTAAAAAAATTCGTATAGCCTATTTATTACAAAAAAAAAAAGAAACAATAAGAAAAAAAAAAGAAGAAGAAGAAGAAGAAGGGATGAAACAAGAAGGAAGAAATTAGATTTAATTTGGCCAAGTTAGGTAAACGCATCGAGCGGGTCATCGATATCACGTTTTATATATTTTTTTTTTACTCGAGTAATTTGCATTTTACGGAAACACCATTCGTATTCTTGTCCAACGTAAGAATTCGTTCTGACCGGAAACATATTATTTTTTTTTTCTTGTTCTTCTTGTTGCGACTTAAGGACGGTGTCGATATATAAATATATATATGAAGGCTCTGCTGGAGCTTGCAATTCATACGTCTGAATCGAGCGAAGGATTGTTTAGACACGTACCGGGTAAGCAAGAATAGAGAAATATAAAAGAGTAATGCAGATATGTACGATGTAACGAAGTGCCGAATTCTGTATCGTTGGATGCGGAACCGTTGTTATCCGGATTGAAGATATTTAATGAAACGCGTTGTTTCTCGATATTATTAGTAGTCTATCGAAAATTGTTATGGCAGAATATTGCAACTCCAAGCAAGAACTTTGTCGTTGTATGTAATATTGGAAATCCAATTGGAGATGTACTAATATGTAAAAAAGAAAAAAGAAAAAAAAAGAAAAGAGGAAGAGAGAAAGGCGAGAGAGATATAATGTTACGTTGGGATAGATTGTATATTTTGTGATACGAGAAAATCTATCTATGAAGTAGTCTGTTTCCCCGCAGACCGAAGACATAAGATACCAGAAAGAGAGAGAGAGAGAGAGAGAGAGAGAGAGAGAGAGAGAGAGAGGGAGAGAGAGAAAGGAGAGAGTAAGACAGAGGTATATATTGTTATTATAATATAATTTATAAATATTGTACAAGCGATTGTACTTTGTGCCATTTTATTAGTAGAATGTAACCAAATTCTGTTTCCTACGTTGATCGATTTGCATTTACGTTTACGCTTTTGCGAGTATTACATTCTATGAAAGTAAAGAATCTTGGAAACGAAATTCCCCATCAACCCAAAATGTACAGAAAGAAACATGTTTATCACGATTATACCTTGACTCGATGTGTCAAATTTATTTGTTCCTACGATGAAAATAAAAAGAAGAAAAAATCGTTGATGAAAGTATGTAAGACCCCCACTCAATTGACGCGTTATACATATACATAACAGTAGTACGTAAAAAAAAAAAAAAAAAAACACCATGAATTTTGGTAAAAGTAAAATTTTTATTTATTTATGTATCACAATGTTACGGTATAAATTATCATTGCTATACTGACGGTAAGAGTTAACTAAATTTTAAAATAATTATCGATTAGAAATGTGAATGAAGCTCGTAGAAGCAAACAAGGTGAAATTGTTGGATTAATCCAATAATGCAAATATCGAAGCAAAAAATACTCAACTTATTTTAGTAATTATCGCCGGCATCGTTTGGCGAACGTATATCGTCGATTTTAAGTATCATTTTCACCAATTGCGTAGCCAATAGAATTTGTTGCGACTTACTCGTCAGTGTTTCGATGACGTTTTGCACTTTCATATCTGTAACGATGAACAATTATTATTATTAACTATTAAGATGAAGGAGGAAGAACTGTAGTTTCGGTACTTACCGGAAGTGCCGCGGTTCAAGCAATCGACACCAAGGGTGTGATTATTTTCAGTCAATTGGCGTGCTTTGATATCAGCCAAAGTGTCCACAGGTGAGAGGCCTGAATTTTCTGCCAATGCCATGGGTACAGCTTCCAGAGCTTCTGCAAATCCACGGAAGGCGTATTGTTTCATGGTGCTTATCTTATTGGCCTTGGCTGCGCATGCGAGAGCACAAGAAATTTCGGCAGCGCCACCTCCATACAAAATCTGTTGGTTTTTGATCACATTACGGACCGTGCACAAAGCATCGTGAATAGCTCGCTTTGCTTCTTCGATGATCTGAAAATATGAATACAAAAATAAATATAAACTATTGCAAGGTGTCTGGTCAGTTAGGTATATTATTCACACCGCTGAAATTCTCCTTGCTTATACTTTTTACGAGAACTAAGTTTCAATTACCATTTTATTTCCACCGCGGATAAAGATGGTGACAGCTCGAGAATTTTTGCATTCTTCGATAACAAGCATTCGATCCTTGGTAGTACCGAACGTAAGTTCTCTAACAACTCCCGAGTGACCAAGCTTTTCTGGTGTCAATTCTTCGAAGCGAGGAACAATTCTGCCACCCGTGGCAATAGCTATTAACTGAAATAAAATCGGTACTGTTTCTTTTTTTTATCTTTCTAAGAAATTAGTAAAGATGAACAAAATACAAGCCCTCAGATCTCATAATCTTTTGGTCATTAGAGCCACTGTGAAAGAAAGATAAATGACTAATGTATTTAGAGAATGTTTGACTTTATTCTCGTAATATGGAACTAATACGAAAAACAAGATGAGAATTCTGAAATTACATTAGCTCATTATCTAGACTTCCACTCTCTCTTCCGTTGCGCTTTGTCGTCATTGGGCAAGTAAGACGGATATTAGTTGGTAGATGTGAAACTTACTTCAATTTCTGGGCCACCAACCCATCTAACCGCGGGTAATTCATTTTGAAGAAGAAGATGATTAGCTTCATCATCAAATCCCCATTGGCAAATGGCGAGCGTTGCACCACAATCCTTTACCTTCTTCACCATCTCGGTGAATTTCTCTCGTTCGTATTCACGTAACGCTCTATAGTCTTCAACTGAAGTAACATCCAACTTATGCTTGGTTTTTGGTTTAGGTGGTTCAAATGGGCAAGTCAGGATGGCCAACTTGACATCTTCCAGCCTCTATAATACAATAAATATTCCTATATTAGAAACTTTGATTATTTAATGAAATAATTCGTTATAATAAAAAAACAATGCCTTCAGCTCTCATAATCTTTTGATCATTGAAGCCACTGTAAAGACCAGATCGTTAAATAGCTACTTAAATAGACTCTTATCCTTTCAAAGTCTAGGAAAAAATTAGGCAATGAAACAATTTCAAGTCAAAAGTGAGCTAATGAAATTTTCCAGACCTTCACCCTTCTCTGCTTCTTTTTTTCATCATTAGGCAAAGTAAAACATTTTGTCAAAATAATACGATAAGAAATAATTTTACCTTGGGCATTTGAGGGTGACTGAAGTCTTTATCAATAACTACACCACGAACTAGAACAGTATCTTCCAACCTGCCACCAACTTTTCCTTCTACCTTTATCAGTTCAAAGTTCACATCATTTGCAATAGGATCTAAAACTGCAAATACAGCATTTACAGCTATTTCTGCCATTTGTCTATGACACTTGTTGATGCTGGAAAAAATAAAGATATTGCTACTTTTTCCTCACATTAGATTCACACAGTCAGAAGATGTAGTCCTTACATTTTTGAACCAAGACTGGTCATTGCAATTTTGATGTAAGGTTCCAGATTTTCTGGGCTGCCCTCAAAGTAATCTACTATCTGATCAAGATGTTCTGTAGCACATTTTGCTGCCATTTCAAAACCATCTGCTATTCTAATTGGATGAATTCCTTTATCCAACAGCTGTTCTGCCTGTTCCAAGAGGGCACCAGCAAGTACAACTACTCCAGTGGTACCATCTCCAATCTCATCATCTTGGGACTGTGACAATTGGACCATGAGCTTTGCAATTTCATGATCCACATCCATATTCTTCAGAATTGTTGCTCCATCATTTGTAACAGTAATGTCTCCATCAGGGCTGACCATCAATTTGTCAAGGCCTTTAGGTCCCAATGAAGTTTTCAGAATATTGGCCACATTACGGGCTGCCAAAATATGTGACTGTAATTAAAAAATCATTTATCACATATATTTCATGTAATATTTATCAAGTCTTCGTTAAAATAGCAAATTTTCAAGATTCCACCGAGCTACTCCATAGAGCCAGAAATCGCCTTATATGGGCAAAAAGAACTACGATTGTACCTAATCAACCGAATCCACATAATACGTGAATATTCATTCGAAGAACAGAAAAATAATCTCCTAAATATAAGGTAAAATAAAAAGTAAGCATATATGTAATATTGGTTTAAACGAAATTTTTTTTAAGTTTCATTTTCAGAATTAATTGCCAAGCCTGAAACGTCGCCATTGCGCATTTCACGTGGTCGATGTAAAGAAACGTTAATAAAAAGTTTTAAATTCTTAAACCCGGTAAAATCGTGGAGAAAATATAGGCGAAAATCCTCTTGGAATTTTTCGTACCGAATGAATACAAAAAAAACTTGTTTAAAAAATATAAATTTACCTTGATGGCATTTATACCGGTTAGACGTTTTTGCCTATCCTGATCACGAACGATGACGAACGGGCGGCCGTATTCGTCAAAGGCCATCGTACCCGCTATCGCCGTCATTTTGTCCCTCGAATAAACGCGGACACTTCACTTAAATAATACTTTCAGTTAAACTAACGTTCCTTCTGACAAAATTACGTTTCGTTGTGGTCAGAGCTACACGACCATTTTGCCAACTTCAACGGATGTTCGTTAATACGCAGTGCCCTCTATTCTAGAACGTTCGGGTTAGGTCGAAAGCATTAGTATACTGTTGGGTTAGGTACAGCTGCACGAAGAGGGAATTTAAAATCGTAAAACGCGCCACAGAGAAACCTCGGTGTTCTATTCTTTGTTAAACATCGAATAAAGAATGTGCTAATAAAACTCCGGTAAAGAAGTATCGATTTTTTGGCGGGAACGCGAGTGATCGATGCAAGAATGAAACTTGTACGTTTTACGAATAACGAACGGGTTTAACAGTTTTGTATGCACCACAATTTATTTCACATTAAACTATTATAACTCTGTATTATAATCTTGAACATTACATATACATAGTTATACACATATAATTATCTTGGAATTAGTTCATTTGACAGAGGTACTTTTGACTCAAGGCCTAAATGGCCATAGTCCCCCAATGAGTCGTACGTTGAAACAATATCTGGAACAATTTGTTCGTCGAAAATTTTCCTTACATCGGAATGTATTTCTTTTACTATTCTATGATATGTGTCGATTTCAGTTCGTTACTCCATCGTCGTTTCTTGTTTCTTCTTTTTGTTCCGTGCATGACAAGCAATTAAACTAATTACACAGATCGTGTAAAATAAATCGAAACTCATGACTGAAAGTGAACTCGTCCGGAATAAAGAAACGAGGTTAACCCTTATTATACGACGTACGCACAACGCATTAGAGGTTGGTTACATTACATTATAGAAATATGCATCCGGAAAATATATGAATACTATGTTAAATATAGCGTTCAGGTATACATATCGATCGAAGATAAAAATATAATTTCAATAAGATATATCTCGTAATAACATTCACATTTAAAACTTTCTTAATGGATTAGGCATTCCCGTGATATGTTAGAGTTCTCCTTATACGATAAAAAGGTCAACGTTGGAAGTATAATATCGCGTGACCAGAAATATCATCTGATTTTTGTGTTTTGGACTCTCGACGACTAGCATCAGTGGCGTAGAAACGAGGGGGTTTGTCCATATTTCGCAGCAGGTACTTTACGCATCAGAAACTGGTGTTTGTTTTTTTCTCTCTTTTTTTCACCACGATGTTTCATAAAACAACACCGCGTTTTCCGTGTGATTACAATTGTAACATTTGCTTCGTTCTATTAATTTTTTTTTCATATTCTTCATCGTTTCGTACGATTTTACTCGTAAAATAACACGTTCCTTCGTCATATAGTACGTATTTTTAAATCACAACTCTAATTAACATTTAACGTAACGATATTTCCACATATATATATACTTGTTGTTTTATCTGAATTATTATTACATGTAACGTTAAGATTTTTTTTTTTTTTTCATTCAAATAACACTTAACGAAGCGATCTCCGAGGTTTCAATGTTCAAATAGAGCGATTCCCGCGATTAGTGCTTAGTTA